CAGCACTTTTTTTTATTATCTCTGCTGACAACACCCCCTGCCTTGACCCTTGGCATGCAGTAGTTCGAGCCTTCTTTCTGACAGAGGAATGAGACACAGGAGTCTGTGTTTTTTAAAGTAGAGCCAGGATTTGCACCTGTCATGTGATGCTCTTTTTTTAAGGCCCTGGGATTTTCTGTTTGAAACCTCAATAACTTACAATGTTTGGGAGCATGAAACTTATAACCTTTATTGTATTAAACTAGTCCAGTTGTTGGTTTTTTTTTTCCCTAAAGTTGGCTGCAAAGGGGCCAACAGACATCAAGCACTGCACAGGTAGAGACCTTCTAGTGAATAAAGAGTCCTGAAACCCCAGGCTGACACACTCTGTAGGTTAGGTCATGAATAGGTACAGACTTGCTGTTCTGTGCATTCCAAACACACTCCCAAAGCATTTCCTAACAAGCCTAAGACCTGGCATCTAAAACTAATGGCATGTAAATCATAGGTGCTTCAGGAATCACAGAATCATGGGATGGTTTGGGTGGGAAGAGACCTTAAACATCATCCAGTCCCACTCCCTGCCATGGGCAGGGACACCTCCCACTATCCCAGGTTGCTCCAGAGCCCCATCCAACCTGGCCTTGGACACTTCCAGGGATCCAGAGGCAGTCACATTTTCTCTGGGCAACCTGGGCCAGGGTCTCCCAACCCTCTGAGTAAAGAATTTCTTCCTAAGTTCTGCCTAAATCTCTCCCTTTCAGTTTAAAACCATTCCCCCTTGTCCTACCACTATGTGCCCGGGTAAGGAAAACCAAGGAGGTGAGACCATGGACACAGGACCTGGGTACCACCAGCTCAGGCAGGCAGTATTTACACCCAGGTTAACATGATTAAATGCAGGTGTTATGACTCTGAATCCCACATATCACTTCAAACTTCTTTTAGTCCTGATCCTGGCAGGCCTATTTTGAATGGTCTTCACTGGAAGACTCTTAAGTTGTTAAGAATACTTGCAATGCCTCCGTTGACTTTCAGTTTTTCTTTGAGGGGCTCTTTTCAATGCACAATGAGCAGCCAAAAGGAGACCAAGTCCCTGCAGGGATGAGGAAAAAAAAGGCACCAGTTCCTCTCCTTGCAGCACTGCAGGTATTTTGGGCACCAGTGTGAAATGGAAATAGTCTTTGGCTTCTGCTTTTTGTGCTCTGCCCCTTTCCAGGCTCCCACATCCCTGTCCCCATGCCAGGCTTCAGTAGGGAAACATCATATTGATTGTGATGCAGGCAATTAAATGGTGTTAATGAAGTTCAAACAAGTGTTATCATAAGCTTGGCAGCATGGAGAGAAATGAAAGGTCAGCCACAGCCCTTTGTCATCTTTTCAGTGTGGCGTTGAATGCTAATGAGACAGCCCCAATTAGAACAGGCTCCCCTTTGTATTGCTTGGGGATTGCATCAAATGCTCCCAAGTTCTCCAGATTTCCTGGCTCAAAGGGGACATTTGAAGTAAACTTGAAAAGATGCAGATCTGAAGCTGCTCTAATGTAAATTCAGCAGAGCCTATGGAGTTTTACCAACTGAAGTCAGATGAGATTCTGCTCCACCGTTACCATTCTTTTCCCCTTTTTTTTTCCTTTTTTTTTCTTTTTTTTTTTTGACTCATATAATGATAATTGAAAAGCCTCCACTTTGTTTTAGAACTGCAGCCTGGCTCTTCGTGGCTTCAACAAAAGCCAAATAGCCTGTCCCCATTTCCTGGGTTAATTCTCCTGCCTCACCAGGCCTCGTCTCCTGCAGCAGAAAACCCAAGATGGTGTCTGCAAAGTGACACTTCTTAACCAGGAGTTCCAAGCTCTGGGGGTATAATTTGAACAGTGAACTAGTTTTTCCCCCCAAAGCCAGGATTTCTCAGCAGGGTTGTTTCAGCAGGCAGAGTCCACCTCTGGCTTCCAGTAGTGTTGTAAAGGATTATCATAGAATTATGGAATGGTTTGGGTTGGAAGGGACCTTTAAAGGTCATGTAATGCCCCTGCAATGAGCTTCAACTAGACCTAAGTGAGGCACAATAGTTTTTCCTTGCTGTTGTCAGCAAATCCATTGCCTTGGATAATTATAGAAATGGGCACTAAAACAACCAAACTGTCAGAATGTCATGGAAGTTCTCAATTTCCTTCACAGCTTTCTGTGGAATTGCAAAAATTGGTAAATTTTAAAATTTTTGGATTAGGAGGTGTCAGGAATCCTAATCCTGAACCCAACACTTGGAATCATCACAAACAAGTAACTGAAAACATGAGAAAATCCTTCCATGAGCCAAACAAACAATTAAAGCCACTGAAGAAGAGTCCTGATGGTCTTGCTGTTGAAGTCTTTTGGAATCAAATTTCCAGGTGACTCCTGTGTAGAAGTAGACCACTGGTCAGACCACATTTTGCAATTATTCCCCTCTCAATGGACATCCACAGCCCAAAGAGGTGGAAAACCAATGTTTGAAGGATTGGAGGAAGGTACTTTCACCCATTCCTCGCTTCTTATGCCAAGGTCATTCCCTGATCTGAATTCCAGGAGTCCTGAAGGCACATTCCACACAAAGGAACCAGTTTTTCCAAGGGGTGGCTCGGAGTGACCCAGCTCAGCTCCATTCCAACAGCTCCTTAAAAGCCAGGAGTCTCTCCTTCCTCCAGAGTGCCTCTGGGTTGGGTACAATCTCCCACTGCCTAATTACCCTCTCAGAGTTTCTTCTTCATCAAAGAAGTTCATTTCATTTCAGGTTCTTCTGATTTACTCGACCACTCCTTAAACTCCACGACTGAAAAACCTTTTTATCTCCTGATTCACCCTTTGAAGAAGTCTAGTGGTCTTGAAGGATGCCACCTCCAGCTGATGCTGACTACAGAAATAGCTCCAACCAGGACTGGAAGCCTTTGGATTTGGAATAAACTCCCTCAAAGCACAATTGCAGAATGGAGAAAAGGAATTAATTAGCTCGGGGTAGAACTGAAATTATATTTTATTCATCCCTGAGAGTTTTTTTTTTTTCCCCTTTCATCTACCACAGCATCCAGGTGCCACTGCCTTGAGTCAGTGGATCTGACACTCAAAAATACAAGCAGGGAAGAAGCTGTAACCATATTCCAAAGCCCACAGCCTCCCCTTGGGCTTCAGTTCAAGTTGTCAGACATGAGTGCAGAAAACAACGCAGCACATGCTGGGGTCAGACATCCAGTGATGTTTAGGAGCAGCAGGAGGTGTTATGTACCTCGTTTGCAAACCCAGTTGTTTGGGAAAACTTCCAAGGAAATGCAGCCACCTACTGCTGAAAATCACTGGGCACCAGGATTTCACTTCCAAGAAGTTGTGAAGCGAAATCAATGCTGGAAAAAACAAAGTCAGAAACTGCAGCCTTTTGTTTATCCAGAGAGAGAAAAAAACGTGCTGCATAAGGAAATTCCTATTCTCCACTTTTGTACCTCAGTTTGTCACTCAAATGTACCTCAGTTTGTCACTCAAATGTATCTCAGTTTGTCACTCAAATGTGCCATCTCCAAAGATAAAAATCAACCAGGTTCACCTGTCAAACAAACCATTTGTCCACAGAGAACAACCACACACAAAGAATGTTGTTAAAGCATCACTAGAGTGTGACACCTTTGGGTGACTGTTGGTGCAAACGTGATTTGTAAGTGAATCTCAGACACTTCCTTCCCATTATCCAGGTCAATCCAGCAATCAGCCTCAATACATACTAAGGAACTTGGACACTGTACCAGAAGTAGGTCATAATTAAGCAAGGTAGCTTGTGAGAGCCTTACAGGTTGCCTAGAAACCACACTTGCTGAAGTGTTTAACCACATCTAAAAATAATTGTCCAGACAAATCACACACCAATGGGAGGACTGCTGGAAAAAATGCTGCCTCGTGCCAACCAGGGGACAGAGCTCTTTGATCATTCACGCTCCTCTTTGAGAGAAAAGCATCCCCACCAAAGGAAATCCAGGGATTTCTAGAGCAGGGTGAGGTGTCTACAGCAGCAGAGGTCTCCTACAATCTGCATGACACAGTATCAGCTTTAGGCCATGCCTATGAAGTCACCCAGAGTAAATCATTGCTGAAAACTGGGTGCATTGTACAGGAACGATCTGTAAGATAAACCTGCCTTTGTATTTACAGAGTAGCAGCCACTCACCACCTGTCCAGGTCCCAAACCTGTCAATAACACTGGGAAAGCCTTGGAAAACAGAGCACAGCTCAACTGCTGCAAAGCTTCCTCCAGCAGAAAGGATCCCACTGACTGGAGGGCAGGGTGGGCTGGTTGCTTGTCCTGGGGCAAACCCTGCAGAAGCTGAAGCTCTAAAGTGCTGCAGGAATGGTTATTTTGGTTGTGTTCCCTGTGGAGCAGCTTTGCCAGACACTGACTTTCAGCACAGGAGACTGAACAGCAGATCCACAGCTCTTGCAGATGTGGATAAAACGCTTGGAAAGACCTGTGACCCTTCAGAAGAAACACCTGCAGAGCTTCAGTCACCAGCCTGTCAATCTTCTGGCATCTCACTCAAAGCACCGAAGAGCCTCCAGGGAAAGTTGCTGGGAGATGATTGTATGTCCCCTGGGATCTAGGCAGTGTGGGGACTGTCACAACGATGCTGAGAACAGCAAACCACTTCTGGTCTGTGTGGAAAGACTTGGAAGCCCGTTTGCTTCACAGGGCTCAAACACATCACCTCCCCTTCCTTCCTCCCTCTACAGCTTCTCAACAGTTTCTCCTCAAGAGAAACAATGATGGAAAACACCTTCTTTCACACCTCTAATTAAATTCCCATCTCAGCTGCAAGGCACGTGAGAACAACAGAAAAAAAAAAAAAAAAAAAAAAAAGGCTGACATGGAGATTTCTGCTCGGCAAAACCCAAAGGAAAAAAAAGCCCAGAGGCATCTCCCAAAAGCAACAGTGATGGTACCTCCTGGTATCACGAAGCAGGGGCCTTGCTGAATCACTTATTCCTATTTCTAGGGCTAAGACTCACCTTTCCACCCAGTTCTTGTAGCTGGGGATGTCCTTGGCGTAGAGGAGCTTGTTGGAGGGGGAGTCTTTGCCCAGCCGGTGCTCTGAGGTGGAACAGGAGTCCATGAAGGTCTGGGCCACCACAGACAGGCAGGCGTCTGTGATGCTGTTTTTGTGGATGTCGAACACAAACTGGGGGTTCTTGATCATGTTGACCCAGAACCTTAAGGGGAGGCTGCAAGAGGGGAAAGACAGTCAGGGCACAGCTCACAGGCTTTGGTGTGGGGGGTTACAACGGCAAGTGGGGGATGGAAGTCAAAAATCATGGTGTGGAGATGAGGATGTCAGGATAAGCTTGATAATAAAATAAATTCCCCCCCTACACAACTCCAGGGATGGCACCTCAGGAGCAGCTTTGCTCCCTGTTATCCTCACAGGGCAGATTCTGCCAGTCTTTAAGTCAATACAGTCTTATTAAAGGTGCACATAAATTAATGGGAGTGATTGGATATTGGGATGGGCAGCCCAGGGAAGGGGTGGAGTCACCATCCCTGGATGGTGTTCAAGAAGAGACTGGATATAGCATCAGTGCCATGGTCTGGGTGACAAGGTGGTGTTGGATCAAAGGTTGGAGTCAGTGATCTCAGAGGGCTTTTCCAACCTGGTTAATTGTGTGATTCTGTGATAACTGAGGTGAGGACAATGCTTCCAAGCTTCTACACATTAAGTTGCAATGTAATTTGGCCCCTACTGGCTGCTTCATCAGACAAAGATAGGCATTGCATCCACAGAATTTATGGATGGTAAGGGTAGTGAGGCACAGGAAGAGGTTGCCACATCCCTGGAAGTGTTCAAAGCAAGGCTGGGCAGGGCTTTGAGCAACCTGGTCTAGTGGAAGCCCACGGCAGGGGGGTGGAATTAGATGACCTTTAAGGTCTCTCCCAACCCAAACTGCTCTGTGATTCTAAACATTTGTCATTGAGGGACTTGGCTTTGAGCCCTCACAGCGACCCCATGGGTGGAGGGGTAGGTAGAGCTCCCAGGATGAGACTGGGAATGTTCATGGCGTGCACTGCGAGCTGTGGACACCACATCCCAACCCACCGCTCAAACCCAAGGCTGCAAACGACCCCAACACCCTGGGCATGAAGAAGTTGTTACATGACAGGGAAAACCCTGTTGCCTCAAGGAAAAAAATTAAAAAAGGAGGAACTGGGAAACAAGCACTGTAGCCTTTGAAATGAAAATCCATCTGCACTAACCAAGGAAATGTTATTCCAATTGCAATCCAAAGGCCTTTCTCCCTTCCATTTTTTTTTTTTTTTTTTTTTTTCCAAAAGAGAGGTTCATTTGGATGAGATGCCCCGAGGTATCAACCTCCAGCCTTTGCCTCAAGCCTTTTTGTCAGGGCAAATGCATTCAAGTGATCATGGCCTAGGAGCTGAGATGTGTCACTGATCACAGAGCCGAGCTCTTGTCTCTCTGTCAGGCAGAATGTTAAGCCAACCTTCACTCTCTGCACCTTCCCAAGAGGAGGATGTTATTCAGCTTAACAAACTCTCCTGATATTCCAGCTGAACTCCCCAGTTCCTTCCATTTGCTCATTACCCCCATGTGTTCACTGTAAAAAATTCGGCTCCAAGGGTGAGACATTTTGGGTGACAACAGGCAGTTTAACGTGTCCTGACAGAGGGATGACATCATGTTTTCCTAAACCACTTTGTGTTCTCCTGACCCCCAAAAAATTACAGGGCAAATGTGAGAAAAGCCCCGCACAGCGAGGTTCAGGAGAAGTGGGAGATGCTGGAAATCAGAGAATTAAAGACTGGTTTGGGTGGGAAGGGACCTTAAAGATCATCCAGTTCCAACCCCCTGCCATGGGCAGGGACACCTTCCACTAGACCAGGTTGCTCCAAGCCCTGTCCAAGCTGGCATTGGGGCAGCCACAGCTTCTCTGGGCAACCTGTGCCAGGGCCTCTGAGTCATGAATGAGTAAAGAATGAGACATGATGGAGTTGTGGGGGAAAACATTTTGGGCTAGGGATGGAAGATCATCAGTTGGAGGATGAGGTGGCTGAGTGACGCCCTCAAAAGTCCTCCTGCAGGTGTTTGGATGAGGGGCACAGCCAGGATGAGGATGAACAGAGCCCATGTGTGTGACCCCAAGTGCAGGAAGGGGCTGGGGGGTGACGGCCCTCGAAGCCCCTGATGTGACTTCGAGTTAATTTAATCTGATTGAATGGATTTCTCCAGACTGCCCCTTTCCCCACACACACGCACACACTCTCTGCCTTCCCCCCTCCCCCCTTAAACAAACCTGCTGCTCATTTAGTCTGAGTGGCTGCAATCAGCCTTAGATTAGCGCCGCAGATAATGTTAATAATATGCTAATGTTTCATTAGTTGAAAGCCTCTTTGGTGCGTGGGGTTTCTTTTTTTGTGTCACTGCCTGTGACGGATCTGCCATCAGCATGGCTGGGAAAGGGGAAAAATGCATGAGCTGGGAGCCCCACGGCTCTCCTCTGCTGTTCCTTTTATAGTCCCTGTATTTGCACAGGAGAAGGGGAGGGAGTGATTCCCCAGGGAGGCCTTTCCAACAGGGAGACTCAGAGGAGAGGAGGTTCTTCTCCACTGATCCTGGTTTTTCCCCCACTGTCCTACTGCATACATGAGGAGAGGCCTGGCAGCTGGAGCAGGGGCTGATGTCACACTTTGTCACCGATGTCACACTTTTGTCACTCCCTCCAAAGAAGATTCACATCCACCTGCAGACCCTTTAAGTGCTCAGTACCATTGGAGGTGCTCTCCTGGCCTCCAGCTGCCACCCAGGATGGTCTCCTGTGGGTGCTGCACATTCCCTGTGCACGTCTGGGATTCCTTAAAAAAATCCCAGCTGGCACTGGACACCTCTGTGTGGGCAAACAAATGGAGCTTTAAGCCCCATCCTGACTACAGTGGGAATTCCAACACAGTGGGAATTCAAGCACTCTGTCTGGATGAAGACAGTGGTGCTGAATCCTCTCCCACCCCTCCCTAGGTATTCCCATGGTCCTGGGCACTGCAGCAATTAAACACTTCAGCATTTTTCCACATGAAATCCCTCAAAAACACTGCCATTCCCATGGAATACCAGCAAACTTGGGTCTGTTTAGCCAGAGGTGCTGGAGCGGGTCCAGAGAAGAGCAACCAGGCTGGTGAAGGGACTTGAGCACAAGTCCTATGAGGAGAGGCTGAGGGAGCTGGGATTGTTTAGTCTAGAGAAGAGAAGGCTTAGAGGTGACCTCATCACTCTCTTCAACTACCTGAAGGGAAGTTATAGCCAGGTGGGGGTTGGTCTCTTCTCCCAGGCAACCAACAACAGGACAAGGGGACATGGGCTCAAGCTCTGCCAGGGGAAGTTTAGGTTAGATGTTAGGAAGAAATTCTTTACAGAGAGGGTGATCAGGTATTGGAATGGCCTGCCCAGAGAGGTGGTGGATTCACCATCCCTGGAAGTTTTTAAAAAGAGATTGGACATGGCCCTTAGTGCCATGATATAGTAATTAGAGTTGGATCAGGGGTTGGACTTGATGATCTTGGAGGTCTTTTCCAACCCAATCTATTCTATGATTCTATGATCCTTGAGAGAATTATTCAGATTCTGGAACATTCTGACTTGAGAAACCCTCACCATCCCCCCCAGCAGCCAGATCCCAAACCACACGTTCCTTTAGTCTCCTTCCAGCCCAGTACCTGGTGCTGGGCCATACTGGGGTGGTGTCACTCACCAGTTGCTCTTCCAGGTGTGCCTCACGTGGGGGTCGTGGATGTTGTGTTTGTCGGCCTGCTCATCCAGGAAATCAAACATGTACTTGATAGCCAGGGGGAGGGCACTGCCACGGTGGGCAGTGCTGAAGATGGTCTCAAAGAGGTCATCCACAAACTTCTGGAGGGTGCCCTGTTGGGAATGGGAGGAGGAAGGGAAGGGGAACATGAGATAACAGGTGGGAAGAGGATGTTGAATTTTGGTACCTCCCTGGAAACAGGGCACGTCTGTGGATCCTGAGGGTGTGATGGGAAACGGGAGCCACCAAATATCAGATAAACGTGACAAGATTTGGGAATTCCAATACAGATGTCACAATACCCACCACATCTGGCTGTCAGCCAGGTCCAGGTGCTCCTTGTCCTCCCTGCTCTGAGCAATCCCTGCCTGGAAGGTGGCTGAGTCGAGGTGGGACAACTTCCCCCATTTCAAGTACACGGTGATGGAGAGGCCCTGCTTTGTTTCCACTGAGATTCCTCTCCTCTGCATCCCATCCCCACCTGCTTTACTGCACTCATGAGACCAAAACCAGCCATTTTCTAGGCTGGCTTTTTCACCCAGGGCCATTTTTTATAGCTGGGAATAGAAGTCAGATGGCTGGAGAGCACAAGCAGAAGGTGTCATTGAGACAAACAGGACAAGAGCACCTAGAGAGAGGCAGCTGGTTTACATGTGTGACTGGTTCAGTAAATAAGGCAAACTTCACCTTCATTCCCAAGAGGCCTCCTCATTTTTTCCTATCCACTGGCATGGGACTAAGGCCAATCCTAAAGGCAATGTATGGATCTGCCATGCACTACTCTGCAGACCTCAGGAATATTCACTGCTCCTCTTGGGGGGGAGAATCCCAGATCCTGGGCTTGGAAAACTCCCCTGGTGAGGATAACTGACCTTTAGCAAGAAGGAGAGGAGCTGGAATATCAGAGGGTTGGCCAGAGGGGAAGCAGATGAGCTTTAGGCTGAGTTTTGGGGGGAACCAGGCAAGGCATGTTTTCTCTGCCAGCAGAGCTTCAAAGGCATTTCTAAGTGAACAAACCACACAGCTGTGAAAATAACCAAAAATAACTGAATATCCAACAAACATTTTCTGATAGGCAAAATTTCCCCTTCTGAAAAGTAAAAAAAAAAAAACAACTTCTCTTTCTTCTCTGCAGACCCAGGAAAGAAATTTCTCCTTTCTAGAAAACAAAGCACCAGGTTCCACCAGAGCGGCTCAAGTCTACACGGAGGTACAAAAACTTAATTAGAAAGCTGATGTCTCTGGCTGATTCACCACTTGATTTATTCTTTGGGAAACCAACAGAGGCACCTTGTGTGAACTCCTACAGGGTGAGTAAAGCCCTACAGCACACATGTGGCTCAGAAAGGGGCCCTGAGGGGAAATCTTGTTGCTCTGACATGGAGGAGCTGCCCTCGGGTTCAGTTGCTGCAGGGAATTAGTTCTCTACATGCTCACCCACACAAATACAAAGAAAGCCTCTGAGGCTTTTAGGCAGGAGACTCCAGGTCTCAGAGGTCAGGGATTTACCAGAATAAAAATCACTGTCAGTTTAACTAAGTATTCCTGGGGATTGTATTACCAGCAATTGCTCTCTCTCCTCCCTCCCCTCCCCAAATGGTCATGACGAGAAAAGAAAATTGTTTAACCCGAGAGGGTAAACAACAAACCCCCAACCCTCCTACTTTGCCTGTTTCTGTGCAAGTCTTGCAGCTGCTTTCCTGCCATTTCCACAAAAAAAAAACAAAACAAAACAAACCAACCCACAACAACCCAAGTGTTGAATTTGTGACCCAGAACACAAAGCAAAAGCAGTTCCGTGGTGGGATAGGGGACATATCCCCAGACAGTGTAAATCAGCACTGCTGCAATGCTTGCTGCTTTACACCAGCTGGGGCCAGAGCCCTGGAGAGCATCATTTTCTTTTAGTTGTGTGATCCATAAAAGCATCTTGATGCCAGGGAACGGGGCAGGTAGCAGGGGCTAAAGACAAAGCCACTTTATCTCCAAATCCCTGTCTAGCACAGCCAGCCTGAGTGAGGCTGCGGGGAGAGTGAGACATCAGAGGCAAAATGAGCTGAGGAATAAATGTGCAGGTAAAACTGCAAGGTAGGACTTAAACAAGTGATGGGGGTCTGAATTCAGAGGGCATTTACATGAACACATGAAATTGTGTTTGTGCCTGCTCACACCCTGACTAAAAATAATAAATAGTCAGAACTCTGGATGTGTCTGGAGATTCCATTCAGCTTTCCATGTCTCAGATCAGGAGAATCAGCTCTCCTTGGAGCTGGCCATCCACTGACATCACAGTCAACTTAACTCCCTGCCAAGACACCAGCACTGAAGTCTTTATCGTCCTGGGGGAAGGTGGAGAGAAAGGATTTGTACAACAAAACTCAGGGTTTTGTGGCATGGGAGTCCATTCCAGGCTGTGAGGCCTGACCCATCCTTGGAACCTGAGCTGGGCACATTTCCTCCCTGGTTCTTCATCTGCTCAGTTTTGGTCAAAGCTACAAACCAGTACAAGGGACATCCCCAGCACCTCCCCCTGTGCTGACTCTCCACCAGTCTCACGGCCCTGAATTCTTTACTCCTCGTTGCTTTTCCAATGTCCCTTTTCTGACTCTGCTTTCCAAGTTCCAGCTCCTTCCCCACACGCTTGGAGCAGCATTTTCCTTCTGCTCTTTATCCTCCTTTGGCATCCTTTGAGTGCTCTCTCGTTTCTCAAGAAGCTCCATCGCAGCCTCAAACCAGCCATTTCCCACCCCCCTGCCCGCCCCCCACCACGTACCTTGGTGGCAAGAAGTCTGGTCAGGTAGATCTCAGAAACCATCTTGCTGCCCCTGTCACCCTCTTTTTGGTCCCCGTGCTCGTGGTTCTTCACCAAGTGCCACATCTTGACCCCGCTCTCCAGGTCAGGGGTGATCATGGGGGTTCGGGACCGGAGGCTGTCGGGGCTCCCCGTGTACCGGATCATGTTTTCTGTGGAGAGAGACGAAGGCTCTCAGCCCTAGGAGCATCCCCATTTGGGATTTTCGGGAAATATCCTGGTGCTGTGACACCTAACAGGTGCTTTCCAAAGCGTTTATCCGAGTGATTTGCTCAGGAAAGGCAAGGGGTGTCAGGCAAGCCAGATGTGATGGCAACATACCATTAAATGAAGTGAGGTTCAAACACTGATTTCCAGTTGTCCACACATTTTAACCTCTTATCTTGTTCCCTGGCAAAATCTTTGGCCTGGGACAACTGGCACTGTCAATGTCAGACCATGCCCAGGGCAATACCAGTTACTGCTGGTAACCAGTTTGGCTGAGTAACTGGTTTTACCCCCAGGGATGTTTAGCCATACCCTGCCATGCTGTTTGGCACAGAAATACTGCTGTGCCTCGTGTCATCTCTTGTCCAGCTCCTCATCCCCACATTTGTTAGGAGCTGCCTCCCTCACTCCTTTGGCACCAAGGCAACCAAATTCCTGCCCACCCATCCACTTCACTCCCTGCTCCAAAATCTTGGGTTTGGCAGAAATAAACCAGAACCCCAGGTGGGCCTACACAAGTTTCCTCATCAAGAAGGTTTTAGCCTCCGAATTTTACCTCCCTTTGCCTCCTGGGTGATGGCACAAGGCATTCCCCTCTCCCTGACCTTCCAGCAATGCTGCAGATCCAGGCTTTTCCAGCCATAATTAACAGAAGTGTTGCACCTTTCTGTAGCAAGATCTGAATCAGCCTCATTAATGCATTACCAATCTCTACATATTAATTATCAGATGGAATATCCTTTTTCTCTCTGGATGTTGTTTTCTTAATTGCAATTAACAATCACTTCTGACCCACCACATCTTCTCCTCCCCCTGCCTCCTTCCCCGTTCCCTCCTCCTGAAAAATCAAATGGCAAAAGAATTAAAGAAATCCAACAGAAATTAACCCCCCTCAAGTCTTCCTTTTCAAAGGTCACCGTGTCTTTCAGTAATTGCAACAACATGGCAAAGAGGATGAATATTAATCAGGCCTGCTGGATCGTTTATGTCCTTGGAGAAAGTGGAAGGGGGTTCCTCTGGACATTGAGTAACTCTGCTTTCCAAGATAAAGGGAGTAAAAAAAGACTGGAGATGCTTTCATAAATTATAAATAATAGTAAAGTGATATAACAGCAGCATCCAGGTTGGAGGGGGGTCTTGCAGTGCTCTGGTTGCACATCAGAGAGGTTTAGATTTGCTGTCCAGCATCACCTCAGTGAGACATCCTGGGCTGCACCTCTATCTCAGGGGAGAAAGGGGAGTGAGGGTGACTCAGGAGGTCCCAGTTTGGCTCTACAGAAGAATTTCACCTGGTCTCTCACAGCTGTCTCATCCTCAGTTGTCTCATGGGTAAAGTGGCAACAACAATCCACTGCCTTGGGATATACTGATACCAGACTCTACGAGTGACATCTGATTTAAGATGTGGGCAGCTAATTAAACAGGCTCCTCCTTTCATTCATGAGGGAGGAGAACTTCCCAAGAGCAATCCAACCACTTGGCTCACCAGCTTGAAGTAGATGCCAAAGTTTCAGGTGGCTAAATCCTCTCCTCCTGCCATCCCTCCAGCAATCTCATCAAGGAATCATCTGCCCATCAGTCTCCCTGCTGGTGCTCAGTGTCTTGTGAGCACCACAGTGTTTGGGATCTCTCTCCCAGAGCTCTCCCAGTCCACAGGAGCACACAAATCCTTACCATACTTGCTGGCTGACGTCCTGGAGACTGTGGAGTTGTTGACTGCGTTGTAGGCAGTGACTTGCTTGGAGACTAAAGCTACCACAGATCCATCTGGCACCTGTAGAGGAAAAGGGGCTTGGTCAACAAGCTTCTGGAAGCTGGCTGAGGACCATGGCAAGGGCAGCAGAAACTGAGCTGCAAAGCAGTGTCAGGGTAGGCAGGACAAGTAGTTTCGGCTCAAAGTTTCCAAAGCTTTTGTCAATGAGTTGTCTTTTTAACAAGAAAGGGACAAAATCTGCTGTTACACGATCAGAACCCTGAACTTGGGCAATGGGACAACTGATGACACATTCTGCTCCATTGAGGCCCTAGTTCAAAGCCCAGTGATGACAATGTGAGTCATAGAATCATTTATGTCAGAAAAGACTTTTAAGATCACTGAGTCCAACCATTGACCCAGCAGTGCCACGTTCACGTCCCCAAGGGCCACATCCAGAGGCCCTTCCCAACACTTCCAGGGATGGTTTTTGCATTAACCTCAGTAAACCTGACAACAGGTTCTTCTCAGGGAAGCTCCCGTGAGGAAAAGGAGCGCGAGCAGAATAAAATCATCGGAGCAATTTCGAACGAGTTTTGGCTGTCCCACAAGGATGATAAACCTGATGGGAAACGTTCTATTCCTTCCACCCCCCATTCCTACAGCAAGACATGTGGGTCCCATATCAGCAATGCTAAAAAGAGCCATATCAGGACCATCTGTGATAAATAAGACATCACAAAAAGGAGATGGGTGATAAAAAAGCCCCTGCTAACAACGTCTAACTCTTGTCTGTGTAATAGTAATAATTAGCACTTGCATGGAGTTTTTCATCTTCAAAGCACTGCAGAGGCTAATTAAATAGCCCCTCAGCTATCACTGAAGGCAATTATTGGCTCTTTGTAGTTTTAGCCCCACACTGAAGATGGGGAAACTGAGGCAAAAGAGGAATATCAGTGTCTGTCCCAGCACGATCCATGTGAGCCCTCAGGACAGCCAGGAAACCACCTACCCTGGCAGCTGAGGGCCTGTTCTGCCCCAGCTCATCCTATAGCTGGGAGATCATTGCCTGCAGCAAAAAACAAAAAAAAAAAGAAAAAAAAAAGTGGAAAAAGCACAGAAAGCACAGAAAGGAAAGAAAATGATGCCCGGTTTGTTGTTGAAATAAAATAAAAAACCTCCCTGTTCTCTCTGGGGAAAAAAATAAAAAAATAAAAAAAAACTCAGTCAGCAATGTTTCAGACTATCTGAAGGGAAAAAAAGTTTTGTTTCCTTTTCAAATTACTGCTTGCTGCCTCCTCAGGTCAGCTCTTAAATGAAAAGAGAAAATAATCTTGTTATGAAACACAGATTGCTGAAGTGTGATTGAGGAAAGGACAAAATTGTCAGCATTGGATTAAACTTAATGAGGTGCTTTTCGTGTTGTTTGGTTTTTTTCCAAGGGAGAAGCTTTTGACCAAAACTTCATTTTTTTGTTAAATTACCACTGGTGTAAGATATTTTCAGACTTCCTTAGCTCTCTACTATGGATTTCAAGGTCATGCAGAGATGGAGGGAAGGCCTGTCCCAAAGCAGGTCACAAGGACCAGGACAGGGGTTCAAACCAAGTGTTCCTGGGTCAGAGACAACCCCACTGCACCATGTTCTCCAGTGATGCTCTTTCCCACCTCCTTCTTCCAGACATTAAGACTCCCTCTTTCCATTTTTCTCTCTTCCATCCTTCTGAACTCTGCTGGGATTAGAAGGCCGTTGATGCATTGGAAGAAGGTTTGTTCCTACCCTTGGCTTTATCTCTGCTGGGTAATTCTGACAAGGACAGTGGAACAGGGTGGATAAACTCAATGTGGAGGGTCTGTCCAGTTTATTGCCCACTCAGCCATTCTTTACCCCTGCATCTTATAGTCATAAAATCACAGAATCACAGAATCATCAAGGTTAAAAAAGACCTTTAAGACCATCAAGTCCACCTGTTAACCCAGCACTGCCAAGGGCACCACTAAACCATGTCCCCAAGTGCCACCATATCTTTTTTTCCAACACTTCCAGGGATGCTGATCCCGCCTCTTCCCTGAGCAAAAGAATATTTCGCCCTTCTCTTTTCTATTTTATGAGCTGATCTAATTCCCACCCACTCTCTCACACAGTTACCTGGTAGTGTGCCAGGGTGTTGAGCCTTTTCCAGTCGTTCTCTATCTTGGTTGTGATGTCTTCATCCTGCAGGATCATCCTTGCCCCACTTGCTTGTCTCCACTCTGTGAGGAGAACAGGGACACTGAGCTCAGAGATAGGGACAGAGCCCTGGCAATCCCTGTGCCCACAACCTGCCTTTACACTCTGATTTCTCACAGTGCTTAACTCTTAATGTATTTATATTTCTTATGTCTCTTCTTGCCCCAACGTGGCTGTTTCCAAGACCAACCTGTCCTTGCTGATGCTTGTTCCACGGGAAAGGAGCAAATGTCACCTCTGTCAGGGATAGAAATCCATCCTTGGCTCTCTTTCCTTTATGAGCGCAGACACAGCCTTTATAAATATCTGAGATATGTGTCCCTGCCATGACCCAGTCACAGAGGGGGCTCCCCTGGGCACAGCAGTGTCTTGCTTAGCACCAAAGCCTGTTCTGGGCTCAGTTCATCTCCACTAGTGCTCACACAACACTTCCTGCACCCCAAATCCAGCAGGGATGGAGAGCAGGAAGCCCTTGGCTTCAGGCACAGCAGGGACACAACGGGGAGAAGAGTCAAGAACAGTCAACAACCCCTGCTCAGGACATGCCTGTGGGCAGAAGGGCTCCTATTTCTGACCACATCCAGTTCTCCAGCCTCTCCCATGAGATGATGAACCCCCTCCTCCTGCAGCACTGCAGCAGCCTGACACTTCCCAGGGTACCACTTTTTGCTCAGATCTCAAAGGATGCTCCACGGAATCACAGAGTGATTAAGGTTGGGAAAGACTTCCAAGATCATGGGGTCATGTGGAGGATTGTCACAGCTTTCCCCACAGAGCACTCCCAGACTTGCCTAAAGCCAGGAAAACAGAAACCATGGCCAAAAGGAGAGAAATGTTCTGTCACCTGGTGACACCAGGGAAAGCTGTGGCTTAATCACAACCTGGACCATTCAAAGCTCTTTTTTATTTTTTTTTTTTGGCTGTCATGGTTTCAGTCACAGTGACCCAACCAGAGCCAAAGCAAGAAGTCTATTCATTTGCAGGAGTTAATTAAAATGAACTCTTGGATATGGAGGCATCACCTGCCACCCTTGCTTGTTTTTCCTAATACAAAAATGCAGGGACCATTGCAAATTTCTTTTGGTTTCAGCAGTTTTCTTATCACATAATTAAAATGCACTGGGAAAGCTGCACTTGCCTTTATTATTCATTTAAATTAGCAGGAAGAGGTCAGCAACTGTGTTTATTGCTGGGTGTTACTTTGGCTGGGGACACTCAGAGAGTAAGCAAAGGTTGTGTTGGCTGAGCACTGATCCTGAACTGCCCTTCATCTGCTCCAGCTCCTCAGACCCTCATCTACATTATCCTTCTGATGCCTGAGGGTGATGCTCTCTGCTCATTCCCACCTGGGCAGGATTCCTGGAAGTTAACTGGTCCCAACCAAAACCAGTTCTGCTGTCACAGAGTGTCTTTTCTCTGCCTTCCTCGTGCTCCCTTGGGTTTGGTGTCTCTTTGGCCTCTCTCCTTCATGGCTCTGCATGGTCCTATGGTCCTTGTCTCCCCCTTGGGAAGAGACAAAGTCCTCAGAGCAGGTTTCCCTCTGCTCCAGGGGAGCTGAGGACATCCTGAGATGTCCCCTCAAGCTTCTTGTGCTCCTTCAGAGACCCAGGGGACTCCTAAGCCCTTTCCCTTGGCCTTCCTGCAGAGAGGGATCATGTGAGGAAGAGGAAGGAACAACCTGACTGCACAAGTGAAGGAGGAAAACACCCTGCAGGGCATGTTCAAAGCATTGCCTTCAATTTTGCCCTGGGCAAATACAAATCCCTTCATCAGGCATCTGAGCAATGCCAGGGAAAGGACCCCCAGCTCTTCCCAGTCCCACTTCATGCTCCTCTTCTCTGTGAGGGTCAGCTCAGGTGGTCACACAGGGATCTGCAAGGAAATGCAGAGGGAATGGGAAGGGAAAAGGTGACCCTGCCATCCATCTCCACAGCCCTAAGTGAGCTCTGGGAGCTCTGTCCTCGCTGGCAGCCCCTGTCCCCTCTCTCATCAGATCTGAGCAGAGCCAGCACAAAGGAGAGACACACTCCAATCCAATTTGTTACACTTCCACCTTCCAGAGAGAGGAAGGGAGGGGGGGGAGGGAGGTAAAAATCCCATTATCTTTATCAAGCCTTCCAATCAGGAGCAGCAGTAAATGCAAACTCAGGAGACAGCTGCTGTGAAGCCTTTATATTTCATTCAGCAGATAGTGTATCTTTTTATTGCACGCAGGAATTACTTCTTCTTTTTCCTTTTTTTTTTTTTTCCTTTTCCTTTTTTTTTTTTTTTTTTTTAAGTAAGAACCTTTCTGTTCAACTTGACTGGGAAAAAAAAGGAAATTCCAGAGGCCTTTGACAAAGAGGTGCTTCTTGGAGCTGTGGCAATGCCTGGCTAGGGAATGGCTCTACAGGGAAGTGGGAGATGGGGAGATGTCATCCTGCACCTCAAATCCTATAGAAAATGTTCCACCTCCCCCCACCCCTTCTCTCTGACCTGGGTCACCCTGAAAATGCCCATTGAACAAGGCAGAAAAGTGCAGCAGAGGGAACATTTTTCAGAAGCAACTGAAATTCCTGGGTGGATGAAGACCTGCCAGCTCACTCCAGGTGCCTTCATTTGAGCTCCTCATCCTCAGTTCCACCATCCCTTGCACACCAGTGAGGTGTGGATCGAATGCATGAGGCTCACCCAGGCTTGATGCCTGTTTCACCATCACTCATGTCCTGAATGTTTGGTCTGAAGAGCTGGGGGGGCTGCTTTTAGTCCTATTTTCCAGGTGAGAGGCAGTTTGGCACAGGAAACAGGAGGATAAACCCCCTGTCTGTGTGTGCAGGCACCAGTACAACAGGTGAGTGGGAAACAAAACAGGGTAAATGTCTGTGTGATGAGCTCTAGAAAGAGAGGAGATGCTCAGCTCTGGTTTTGGGATAGAGAAAGGACCACCAGTGTTGGGAATAAGAGTTCATTTCAGAACACAGAGGTGAAAGATGCCTGGGAATAATTACATCCTGCATGGAATGAGGCACAGAATCACAGAATGGTTTGGGTTGGAAGGAACCTTAAAGATCATCCAGTGCCCCCACCATGGGCAGGGACACCTTCCACTATCCCAGGATGCTCAGAGCCCCATCCAGCCTGGCCTTGGACACTTCCAGGGATCCAGGGGCAGCCAGGGCCTCACCAGCCTCTGAGTAAAGAATTTCCTCCTAACATCTAATCTAAACCTGCCTCTTGGTTTAAAACCATTTCCACTTATCCTGTCACTCCAAGCCCTTGTCCAAAGTCCCTCTCCAGCTCTCTTGGAGCCCCTTTAGGCACTGGAAGGGGCTCTAAGCTCTCCCTGAAGTTTTCTCCAGGTTGAACTGCCCCAACTCTCTCAGCTTGTCTTCAGGGAATATGTGCAAGTTGTCCACCTTACTCAACAGATACCAGAATTAGACCCAGTTTAAACATTTCCAGTTTAATTGAACTCCACATCTTAATCCTGCAGGGCTGGTGAGGCAGCAAGAACTTGTCTGATACAGTCAACACCGAGCCTGAAACAGCATCACCGAGCGCAAGGCAGCCAACCTGGCAGCTCCCACCACCCCAGCAGCCCCTTTCAAAGAGCATCCAAAGCACAGGGAAGAGCAAATGCCTCAGCATGGAGCCAGATTCCTAGTTTGTGATCCTCACAACCTGAACGTTTTCCCAGAGAAGGGGGTGTTTTCATTTACGGGCGAGGGCTTCGAAAACGATAATAACGAAAATCGCCACCGCAGAGAGAAGCCTCTTTACTCCGAGGGCTGCAATTTGGGGGCTCGGACTAAAAACGGAACCTCAGGGTGTCCAAAATTAGTGCTTTCAGCTGAAAACCCCCTCCAGGAGTTGCTGGGTAACTGCCAAACATTATGACATTTGCGACACACACACACCGAGTCCCTGTGCCTGCTGCTCCCCTGCACTTAACAACTCACAACAACTCATTAGCTTGTTTGCTTTCTTCCACCTGGGCAATCCGGCCTTAGCAGGGACAGAAAGCCCTGGAAATTGTAATGGTGACAGAAAAAGGACGTTGCTGTTGAAAAGCCATGGATTTCAAGGCCGGAGCAGGGTCATCTGCTCCGACCTGGTCCAGCCCCTCAGCAATCCTGAGGATTCAGCCCCGGGGCAGGTTGGTCTGGAGAGCTCTGTGGTGATTCCTAATGGCCAGCAGTGCTCTCTGCTCTCCCCTTGCTGCCTTCAACCTCGCTGAAGGATGCCAACAGGCATCTTTTCCTGTGAAAAAGCTGGGATGGAGCTGTGGCTGGATGGGAGTGTCCTACCCGTGCCAGCCTTGCTTCTCCCACCTTGGGAGCTGCTGTGTTCAAGGAGCAACTACACTGCTGCTGGCAAGGCTCTCCTACTAGATAAGGGGGGGTTTTTTTGTGTTTTATTTTGTTTTTCTTTTCCTCTACTGCCCAAAGAGCTGCTGATTAACCCATCTCTTGTCACTACGGGCAAGCCTGTCCTCTGAGGGGTGCACACGCTCATATCTCCCTTCTGGAACTTTCTGGTCCTCAGAACCACTCAGATCATAGAATCACAGAATGGTTTGGGTTGGAAGGGACATTCAAGATCACCTCACTCCAACTTCCTGCCGTGGGCAGGGACACCTTCCTCTAGACCAGTTGCTCCAAGCCCCGTCCAGCCTGGCCTTAAACAGGTCAATATTTCTTAAACCAGCAGCAATTCCAGCTGTAAAATTGTCAGGGACCCTGCACAGACACACACACATCACCCTCTGTATCTGGAGGTTGCCACAGCTCCAATGGAACCTGTGGAGTCAAGTTTATCCCAGGCATTTGCAGCAGGCAGGTAGAATTCCTGCATCCCATAATGGATGCATCACTCATCCCCACAGCAGAACAAACTGCTTCCCACTCACACCCAGTCTGAGATCTGAAGGCACTGGGCTCTGTGGATGCCATCCAGCACCAGGCAGGTCAAGAGATCCAGCTGCAAACCCCACTCCTCTGCTCTGCTGTGCCCCTGGCACCGTGCCCTCCCTGCACCCCCTGCTCACCCCAGCACTCACCACTCCCCTGCTGACTCCCAGCAGCTCCAGAATCATCATGGGTCCTTTCCTGATGATGTATTTGATCTGTTCTTTACTGCTGCTGTTTTTGGCAGCTTGTTTCATTATTCTAACTGCCTTTCATGAGCCATTTCTGTCAGGAATCCCTCCCTCCCCTGCATATACACACACAGAGACACTTAACTTTAATCCCTGACCTCTCATTCCTGTCTCCATTTATTGCTGTGAATTGTTTCTTGGCCTTGGTCCATTCCTTCTCCTTTTGGTCCCTCTACAACTTTGCTGGGTTTTACAGACTCCATCGTTTTCCACTCCAGTCTCTTTCAGTGAAGGTCACTGAGGGAAAGTTCTGCCAGATACCCCCACAATGCAGCTCCCAGCCCCACACCAGACACCCCAGCAACGCCCTGAGGAGATTTTCCTACATTTTTTTCACAATACCCTCCAGGTGTGGCGTCACATCTGCCTGGGGACCCCAAACTCAGACATCTCACTCCTCACACCATCCCTGCTCCAGGTACTCTTTATCCAGGGGGTCTTTGGCAAGAGAGCAAGAACAGTCCCACTCATGCCTTTCCCACACCCTTGTCCAGGCTGAATTCTGTGGGCAGAGAAGCTGGAATGCCTGCTGGTCTTTTGGAAGTCCTCGAGGCTGAAGATCCCAAAGATCAACACAACGTCTCCTCTGCCCTCTCGCTGCTGCAGCCTGGAGAGGGGACACCCACCCCAGCAAAGGGTCTGGATGGGGTTTGGCTGCCTCCCCTCCCCAGTTCCCCCCCCTTGCCTGGGGTCAATCACGTACCCAAATCCATGTCAGCAGCTTTGGGGCGGTGGGAGCAGGGCACGTTCTTGAAGATGGCATCCAGGATCTTCTCCTTGACCTGCGTGATGGTGTCGCAGTTCAGGATCTTCACCGGGATCTCGGGGCTGTTCACGTTGTCGGGGTTCACGCAGCTCAGCACCTGGGAGAGAGGCAGTGAGACCCACCCACACCTGTCACAGCAGCACAGGCACCCTCTGGCTGCCCCTCTGGCCGCTGTCTGCGTCCCACAAGCCATCTAGGATGCAACAGTGAGGGAAAAACAGGGCTTGAGAGTATTCCCTCCTTCAAGAGGGCACAGAGATCCTTGGCATCTTCATTACACTTACAGAATCACAGAGTGCTTTGGGTTGGAAGGGGCCTTAAAGATCATCTAATTCCAACTCCCCTGCCCCAAATTCCACTAGACTAGTTTGTTCCAAGTCCTGCTCCAGTCTGGCCCTGAGCACTTCCAGGGATAGGGCAGCCACAGCTTCTCTGGGCAGCTTGTTCCAGTGCCTCACCACCCTCACAGGGAAGAATTCTTTCTTAACATCCTAAACCCCATAAACACCAGCTCATGGCTTTGATTACAAATGGTCATTGGTGCAAACTTTTCATAGAATCCATTAAAAATGTACTCAGGTCCGACCCTGGCTGGAGCCAAACCGATATCCACAGAGCTCTCCAGAGCTTTCCTTGGCCTCTGACCCATTCCATGCTCCCTGGGTGGCTGGCAAGGTGCCCTAATTCAGCACTGGTCTCCTTGCATTGCCACCTGACTTTGATAATTGGGGTGAAAAAGCTCTTCAGCCTCTAAGCCTTCAATCTGCACAGCCATGGCACCGACCAGGCCCCTGTCAGAAGAATATGACTCATTCTGAAATGCAGGGCTTCCTTAAAAACCAAACACAAGCCAACATCAACAACCTCTGCTCTCACACACAGCAGAAGAAAACTGACCCAGCTAGAGAGGCCTCTTGTTTCTCTGAAGGAAAATTTAATTTTCCCCAAAGGCTCCGTCCAAGAGTAAATTCAAAGCACATGGGGTGGTGAGGGGGGAAAAAACCTTAAACACACACACAGAGTGTTTAACAGCAACCTGCTGCTCACCCTTGGCCACGTCTACGCTGACCATTCTTGCTCTCTTTTGGCCACAGAAGTGTGAAGTCTATAAAGTTTTATAAACCTAGCACACCTCTGCACTTGAAAGGAGTGTTCCCTGCTGCTCCAGGCTACATATAGTTATTAAGCGTTCCTGGGCCACTTTTACAAGTGCAGACATGTTAGTTTTGGTGCCTCAAACAAATTTTATCCTGACTGTAAATTCCCTTCTGCAGCACACAAGGGATGCTGGACCCTCCATCACTTCTATCTTCACCTACTAAGATGCACTGGGAGCTCAAAGTTGCTTAAAACAGGGTGAAATCATATCAGTATAATTACACACTGGCTCCCCAGGCTCCCTTTGGTGATGTTATGCTCAACTAAGAGGGCCTTGTGAAGATTTTGCTTACAAAGAGCTCTGTGATCTTGCTGGATGAAAGGGGAGATGTAAATATGAGATATTGATTAGATCATAATGCTATTATTTATATGTCACTTCCAGAAGTATTGAAGAAGCATCAATTCAGATAATAATAACAGCCCAGATTTACAGTTCTGTGGCATCTTTCATCTCAAAGGATCACTGAATTAAGACATAAAAAGCCCTGTTGAAATGCATCCAGTGTTGAGGTTGTTAGTTGGTGCAGCCCTCCTGGGTTATGCCCAATCCTTGCCTGCAGGAACCTCTTCCTCTGCAAAGCCCTTGGGTGTATCCAGCAAACAAACCCCTGATTGCTGGGAGCCTGCACTGGTGTTGGGGTTATGGCTGGGCTCCATCATCTCAAAGGTGCTTTCCAACCTGAATTATCCTATTACACACCTGCAGGGAGATGGAAAAGGGGTGGCAGGCTAGGACAGCTCTTTTGAGAGTGTTAAGCGGGGGTCACACATGGCTCTGGGGACCAAGGTGCTCTGCAGGTGCCTCTCAGAGATCTGATCTCAGCTGAGGTGAAATGAGCTGATGCCAAGCTCACCAAGCCCTGTGCTGGGATTAATCCCTGATTCAAACAGCTGGAGCTCAGTTTACCCCCCAAATAAAGGCCTTTTAGTGCTCTTTGAAAACAATCTGGGCTGCCCTGCCAGGCCACCATCTGGTCCAGAGGACCCAACACCTCCTGCAGGTGTTGACTGGTGTCCACCACACCAGTACCCCCCATCCAGCTGGAAGGTGACAATGGGGATTTGCTCTTTTAACTTGTTTGTCCTCGAGTTTCACAGGCTGCCAGGTTTGGAAGGTGTCAGAAAACTCTGCCCAGTGAGCCACAATCCTTCGTGCCTTGACTACCCCAGCTCAGCTGGAATAAGAAGAAAGGGCAGGGAAGGCAATATTTGAAAGAAGTTTGCTCTCAGGGGTTTCAGGCATAGATGGGGGGAGCTGATGGTCCCTGAGCTCCCATGTGTTCATCACAATGACCATCAGGAGTCTCTTTTCAACATTTTGGGGAATTCAAACATCACTTCTGGAAACCAACACCCTTCCCAGAGCACAGTGGCTTTGACATGTGTGCCCCAGGTTTCACATCAACGCTCCACTGGTGTTTTCCTGCTCCTGTGGAGGGAGAAACTTTTCTCTGTACTGATGAAAACCAGGCTAAGACAAAGGACTAATCCTGTTGCTCCTGCAGTGCTGCTCAGCTGCATCAACACAATCTTGGATGTCAACTGGTGGGGAAGAGACCCCCCTGATGGCCTGTGTTGTATTCCCACAGGATTAATCACTCTGAGGGAAGTTTTTCAGTGCTGATCTCCCAAATGCAGCCACTGTTGCTGCTCCATCACCCACCACCTGCCTTCGACCTCCTGGAGGAGAGGGAGAAGAGACTTCAGTGTCACTCAAGGAATGTTTTGGCACTGAGAGGACACCAGCACTTGGTACTGCTGTTCTGTCGTGAACTGGGGTCTGTGTCACGTGAGGATGTGCCAGTTGTGGGGTCAATATGAGAAGGAACAGGACTGGGAGCACATTGAGCAGTAATCTCTGAGCCCTGCCCTTCCTCTGTACAACCCTGGGATGTGCCATCTCATTGGATTCGTGTTTATTGACCTTTTTCAACACCCTTGGGTTTGTTTTCTTTTTAATCTGCCAGCCCTTCCAGCCATGAACTGTCTCTAAGTGTCTTATATACATGCAAAGCTTGGCTCAGCTAAGCCCTGATGGCCATTACAGATTACTGACATTTAAATAATACAGGCACAGCTTGTAACTACTCATATGGCTCTGAGTTCTCTGCAGTGTTTGAGTGGCCTGACCTGGGACTTGGATGTCCCTACAGCTTCTGTCCCAGGGACAGAAATCCTTCTCTCCCTTCTAGATTGGGCTGGAAGGTTCAAGGTGGGGGAGGTTCCAAACAGAGAGGCTTGGTGGAGAAAAAGGAGAAGGACTCCCAAAAAAGCCAAGCACAGGAAAGCCTTCTGATGTCACAGAATTATGGAATCATGAAATGGTTTGGGTTGGAAGGCACCTTAAAGACCATCTAGTCCCAACCCCCTGCCATGGGCAGAGACAGCTTCCACTGTTCCAGGTTGCTCAGAGCCCCATCCAACCTGACCTTGAACACTTCCAGGGATGGGGGTATCAACAACTTCTCTGGGCAACCTCTTCCATTATCTTGAGGGTGACTTTCCTCCTGCCACCAAACTCCTTCGAAAGCCTTAACTAAAGGCAGCTGAAAGGATCTTTATACTATGTTTTCAGGAGAGATAATCCCATTAGGCTGCCAGCACTGGAGGCACTGAGGTGTGCAAGGACCACACAGGGCAGGTCATTGCTCCAGATGTTCGGGGCATCTCCTCTCTATCACCCCAAAACACTAATCAGCCAACACTCTTCTAACACACCTCTCTGCTCCCCTGTGTTATTTGTATCAGCAGAAACGAAGCTGCTGCAGGAGATGGAGGGTTTTTCACCTCCCAGTGATGGCAGAGCAGTGGCAGCAGGAGTGAGGCGTTTGCATCTGGATTCTCCTTTGGTGGACGGCTAAAAATCCCACAGATTCTGGCAAAGGCAGATGGAAGGCAGCAGGGATGAGATCTGCCTGTGTCTCGTAGATGGGATGATGCAGCTGGGTTTTTAAGAGCCCTGCAGACCAGAGATGATGGGCACTAACACAGGAGGGGGTTCCTCTGGGGTTCACAGCTCGAAGAAGGCCCACTGTTTAGCTGCAACCGTTTATTCCAGCAAATCACAGCTGTAAGTAGCTCAGTTTCTCCTGGCTGAAAATTCCCTTGTAAGTGCAGGAATTCTTACAGACTGCACAGACCCTCAGACACCAAGGGCTGCTTCCTTGGACACCTGTAGGACCTGGCAGACAGCAACTTGGAGCTACCTGGTTTAGGAGAGAAACCAGACCAAAACAATCTATATTTAGGGCATGAGGTGTGAACTGTAAAATCAATTTGTTCCAGGTGCCTGAATGTGCTCTTCCTTTTTTTTTTTTCTTTTTTTCTCTCTCCTTGGACAAGTCAATTCCTGTGGATCTGCTCTTCACTCAAACCATATTCAAAATCATGTTTTAAGAATATTAGGTCATAGAATAGAATCATAGAATCATAGAACAGTTTAGGTTGGAAGGACCTTAAAGATCATCTCATTCCAACCCCCCTGCCATGGGCAGGGACACCTTCCACTATCCCAGGCTGCTCCAAGCCTCATCCAACCCAGTCTTGGGACACCTCCAAGGATGGGGCAGCCACAGCTTCTCTGGAAAACCTGTTCCTGTGCCTCACCACCCTCACAGGGAAGAATTTCTTTCTAATATCTTCAGTTTGAAGCCATTCCCCCTTGTCCTGTCACTCCATGCTCTTGTCAGTAATCTCTCTCCATCTCTTTTGTGGGCTCCTTTCAGGTACCACAAAGCCACAGTCAGGTCACCCCAAAGCTTCTCTTTTCCAGGTCATGATTAATATGAAGGCTAAAGAATAAACCATGGAATCATTCAGTGTGGAAAAGACCTCTAACATCCTAGAGCCTTTGCCTTCCAAAAGAAGCCCTGGCCTTGCCTTCCAGGAATGATGGCAATAAACATCCTGCTTCCATGTGCCACACTGCTGGAACTGGGATTTACCTCAGCCAAGCGCTCATGATACGTGAACATCCCCGTGAATTTTAGCCTCATTCACTGCAAACTCACAGTGGTGGTTTAGAGCAGGAAGGATTGAGGGAATTCCCACATTGCAAACACTAAATCAGTTCTTGCTTTGTTTCATTACTGTATATTTTTAATAAGATGTGTCAGACTGAAGGAAGGCAGAGGAAGGCCAAAATAAAGCAGAAATAAAGAGAAACAGAAAGGGAGAACGATCCTATTCACATTCTGCTTCTTCCTAATCTCCTTCACTGGAGCTGATCTCTGTCAATCTGCTGAGATTCCTATCGGGATATATTTGTCTGCTCTTGAGATGTAAGAGGGAGAGCTGATTAACATCAAGCAGCACAAAGGGAAGGAGGAGAGCTTTGTTCAGGCTGCTGTATAATTACTACCCTTTGCTGGCTGCTTTCTATCAAGCCTGAAAGGATCTGGGGGGGGGGGGATTTTCCTCTGGTGACAGCGATCGCTCCATGTCTGTGTTTTCCTTCCTCCTGCTCCCCCTCTCCACGTGGGATCAGCCTCTGAATGGTTGCACAACAACAGCAAAGAAGGGCCACGCTGATGATCTGATGGGAAAGTCGCGGGTTTGACGCTCAAAACGAAAGTGTGATCGCGTTGAAGGATAAAATCCAACCCCCCGTCAGACGGGGATTCAATCAAAGCTCAGCTCTAGGCTGAAGGCATTTCAACATCAGCCCACCTGAGCTGAGGTTTAAGAGAGGTCAAGGAGCCAACAGCGACTGGGGGTTGGAACCAGATGGTCTTTAAGGTCCTTTCCAACCCAAACCAGCCTGTGATTCTGTGATTCTGTGATTAGACACAGTTTTCAGAGCTACCTAGAGTGAAGTGAAGTGAAATGAATGCCCCTCATTTGAAACTGCAGTTAAAACAATCTGATCCCTTTAGAGCATCTTCTGACCGTCCTAAAATTTGGGGTTGGGTTTTTTCTGAGAACAAAGGCACAGGAAAAATTACAAGGATCATGGAAGACTTAGGAAGTGATCTTTATCCTACAGAGACTTAGAAGCTCAGTGGATTTAGTGCATCCAGAAATGAATGAAGGCCCAAAAAACACACTAAGAAGAGATATCTAATGCTCTTTAATTGATGCTCTTTAATCAAGTGGGAAAGGGTGTAATCTCAGAGCAGAAGCTAAAGCTGCACATCTGCAATGTATATCTTGCACCACGCAGGCAATTCCACTTTGAAGCGAATGACTCAGTGCTGGGGATTAGTTTTCTTCCCCTTGAAATCTTTAAATCAACTGCATTTTTCTTGGACTTGTGCTTTCTCAACAGGAATGGCTGCACAAGTTCTAGAGCAGACCTAAAGTCCCTCCCCTGTGTACCTCTGACATATCCCTTGATGCTGAAATCCTCATGGGAGAAACAGATCTTTAATTTTAATAATCAATCTTTAGCAGGGTTACCCTGCTGGGATACAGGGATAATTGTCCCAGAGGGTGAGCATGCCCATCATGGGCTTCTGTTCTCTAAATTCCCTTTTTTCTAGAAGGTCCTGGACAAGCCCAGAGGACTCAGAGCACTCACCAGTGTCTTGTAGTCGATCTGCTGTCGGATGAGCTTGTCCTCACTCAGGGAATACCGGGCCTCCCCCGTGATGGAATCGATGGGACCCTTCTCCATCTGCTGCTTGATGGCACAGAAAAGGGAGAAGAGAGGTTCTCCAGCACACTCCTGCAGGGGTGAGAGACAAACCAGCAGGTGAAATGAGAGGAGGAGAGGTGACAACCAAACTGATGTGACATCTCACCCTCCACTTCCACAGAGTGCAACCAGCCCTGGAAAACCAACCCCACAGGGTGCTGTCATGGGACAAAGGTGTCAGTGCTCCCTGGCAATGCTGGGACCAGCAGAGCCTTGCAGGTGCTGTTCCAGTCAGTGCCACCAGACCACAGCTCTGCACTGGTGGGGTTGGGCTCCAGAAGACCTGCAGGCAGGTCGGAAAGGGAGATGGACTGATGGTGCCTCATCCTGGCTGTTGGGCAGTGTCCACAGCCTCCCTGAGCACTCTCACACTGGAAGTAAGTAGGGATGCTAAGGCAGGAGCAGCTCCACGAGCCAGGGGAAGATGTGCCCCTGGATCTGTGTGGGTGCACTGGTGATGTCAGATGTGTGGAGCCCACACGGCACAGCCACGAGCAGCCCACAGGCAGGGCCAGCAAACACACCCCTCCCTAATTTCCCCTCATCATTCACACTCACTGCACTCCTCTTCCCACACTTTCCCCAGCCTCTCCTGCCTCGCTGCCCTCCCTCAGCTCATTCCCTGCCATGAACCCCTCATCACACTTTCCTCTCTTGCCTCTTTCCCCCTCCATCCCCTCCTCACCCTCTCCTCTTGTGTCCCACCTCAGGGAGCGAGGTCATTTTCCCCTGGTGTAAATCCCGGGGAAAACAAGTTAATAATCAGAAGCAAAGTGGCCCCTTTTTTCAGTTCCTACACCTGTCTCCCACTTAATTAGCTTATCTGCCAGCAGCATATTGCTTCTGTGTGCCTGTCTCTTGCCCTTATCAGGCCTCTGTTCAGGCTAAGGCAAGAAGACAAGTAGCTGAGTGGGGTGAAAAAAGCCTATTATAAAAGCAGCTCTTTAGAGAGTCACCTCCTTATATCCTTTCCTTTCAGCTCAGAGCAGGGATCTGATACTGAAGTCACTGAAATTACCTTCCAGGGACCTTCAAAACTTTCCCCTGCGCTCATCCTTGGACCGGGGGAGGCTCAGGGGATTGGGGTTTATTTGTGAAGCCTTGAATTGCCAGGCAGAGGGTGTTTACTGTGTCCAAATGAGGCTGGCAAGTGGGAGGATATTTAGCAACTGCTCTGGGAGTGGGGGAGAGGAGGAGGAAGCTGGCTCTGGGTTTGGTCTCTTGGCAATTGTCACGCCTGGGGCTCAATGTAGGTCCCCAGTGAGGGACCTGCCATCACCCAGCAGGTCTCAAAGGCTGAAAGGTTGTTTTTTTTTTGCTAATCACCACCCCAAGGAGACCTGCCAGGAGGAACAAGAGGGCTCAGAGGGTTCTTTCACTCTTCTGCTGCTGAGAGTTCTTCCAGCTTGGGGGCTGGGTCTCAGTACTGCCTCTGAACTGGGGTGGAAGGAGATCTCCAGCCACCAGCACACCAAAAATGTGGGTCACCACATGATGGAGACCTCAGGCTGCTGGTAAAAGGAGAGCATTTTCCATACAGGTCTCAATCAGGGACTGGAAACCTCCACATTTCAGCACTGACCCTCAGATCCCACCTCTGTACGAGAGGAAGATCAACAGGCTGCTTCTCTAACAAAGTGTCCCTCTTTGTTCTCCCTGGATCAGAAAACAGCCCATCCCCTATTAGGCAGTGACCTCCTTTCAGAGGAAAAAAAAAAAAAAAAGAGGCTTTTTCCTTTATATCTGGGAAGTTTTTGCCCCAACTAAACCTCACCAGGAAGAAATGTATTAAAGCAGGCTGTTTTTCCAGGCTCCTCTTACCTTGAGGAACTTGTAGAGAAGGAAGGTGAACCAGTTGGTGAGCATTTTCTCAGCCACAGACTCTGTCCTAAAATCAGGGAGGGAGTAAAGAGCAAATTGGAAATGATTTAGTTGTGCTGGTCATATCAAAGGACTAATCAAAATTGTCTATCTTACTGCCCAGATCTCTGAGCCCCGTGCTAAGTCTGGCACGACAATCTCAGCCTTAGGCACGTTTTGGATTTAGGGAACCTGCAAATTCTGACTGCCTTGTTGACTCTCCTGTGACCAGAAGTCCCTGTGTGTCTGTTTTTCAGTTTCTTCAACAACGAAAAAGAGTTGACAACATTTGAGGGAATCTTCTGCAAAGAGCTCAGGGAGGATAAATCCATCAAATATGAGGAGCTCAGAGCTGGGCCATATGTCAAGCAGGCTATATAAATACTCAAGAGAGACAGATCTAAATCACTGGGGAGCAGTTATCTGGCACTGCCTATCTCCCTGGCATTTGGGAGTGATTATACTCCTCAGTGTGTCAATGTGGAGCGTTCACAGAGCTCATCCTTTTGCCCTTGAACGCTCTGTCCCCCACGGAACAAAGATCCATCTCGCAGGCTTCAGGATGAATTTTTGCCTACAGAAAGACCAACTCAGACCTGTAAGTGTGGTGTGGAGCCCAGGAGCACAGGATAAACCTGTGCTGGCTCCAGCACACACACACTGGTGCTGCTCAAGAAGTAAGCACAAGTCCCTGTCTGGTTGAATTAAAGTGGATCCTCCTTGTCCTGGCTCTCACCAAAGCCACACAGGGGTGGGTTCGTGCTTGTTTTTGTTGTTCCCTGCTCTGAAAACCTCTTTGGAGCTGTAGATGCCACGTGGGATGAACAGTGGACTAAGGTGAGGGGGAAAATCACTTCTGCCGCCTCCTCCTTTCTGTCAAATATCTCCAAAACTGCCACTGCAGAAAGGTGTTGGAAGATTCCCTTCCATCCACAGACTCATGGGGATGGAAAGGGAAGCAAAAAGTTGGATCCAGCTGCTCCAAATCATTGTCTGAGGACCTCACACCAACATCTGACCCGAGGCACTGAGCTATTCATGTGTTCTGTCCTGGTGCTGCTCAGGGCAGCACCTCCATCTCAGAGCACAGAGCACATCTCTGGTTTCTCCTCGTGTTTTCAGACCTTGGAACAGTGGATGGATGTGTCCTGTCTGTTCCCTGGCTTTCCTTCCAAAGGCTCATGGTTCATGTCCAACAAAGAGGACTAGAGTTAGAAAAGAGCTGGAAGAAGGAGAAAGAGAAAAGGTGGGATGCTCAGGACAAGACAGCAATGAACAACCAGGGAAAAAAAAAAGAGATGGAGAAAGTGGAAGAAAAAGGAGAACATGAAGGGATGAGACAGTTGGAAGTAGGCAGTGCCATCCAGCATCAGAGGAGAAGCACGACAAGGAAGTCTGGGGACAGCTGCAGGGTGGTCACCAGCCAGGCTGGAGGGCTTGAATCACATCAGGGAGTCAAGTGACACCAAAGCAAAGTCCAGTCTGTGCCCCTGGCATTGCTGCTCTGAATGCCAGGAAGTGCCTTCTGCTCCCTTTTCTGCTGACTGTCCACAGTGGGCCGTGTGCCAGAGGAAAAGCCTCCCAGGAGGCACCAGAGATCTCTTCCCTGCCCAAGCCATCCATCATAATCAGCTGAGGGCTCCTCGGAGTTGGCTCTGAGCAGTGGCAAAGGCCATTCCTCTCCAGAAGACTCCCCCTGATCTTACTCAGGATCACAAGGATTGGTTCATACCGTGAAAAGGAGACAAATCTGATCCTAAAGGGAGAGGAGGCAGCACTTCCTGAGGCAGGGAAGGCACTTTAATTACAGAGCAGTAGATTTCTGACTCGAGGTTTCCCACAGAACTGTGGAGTTTACGCCTCAGACCAGGCCAAGAAGCACCAATCCAAACTTGTGCCTTGAATAAAACCAGCTCTGTTGTCCTGCTCAGCTCTTGTGCTGCCTTCCACAAACTTCCAATGCTCTGGGAGAGACAGGAGATCCCACAGCGCAGCTGAAGGCTCTCCATGTGTTCACAGGTAATCAAGGAACAAGAAACAAAAAGCTGGGAATTCCACACCCCAGGCAGGAGGTGGAAGAAGCTGACATACTTCTCACCAGGGATATAACACAGCCTCTTTTATGGGATACACTCTGAGGTCCTACACAACATAGTTGGAGATTGTAGGTTAAAAGGGAAAATAAGCCTAAATTTAACATTTAAGCACACAGAGAGTCCAAAATAAGGATTAGGAAGCAGGGGCTTTTGCTGCTCTCATGAAGCTTTATGGAGGATGCACATGAAAACCCGGAGATAGTTTAGTTCTGGAACTTTTAATTCCTTAACCCAGTTCTATAACTATTAATCACTGACCACTTCTTTTAGGGAGGAGAGGAATCAAGAGCTACGTCTTTCCTCCAGAGATGAGCACGGTTATGTGGGACAGCGGAGCACAGGCTTCCCAACCCAACTCCCTCCAGCCCCAGCCATCTTTTACCTCCGGAGCAGCAGCTTGGGGTGGTTCTTGCTCTCCAGGTTTTTGTCTATGAGGTCGGCCAGGAGCTGTTTGAGGACGTCAGTGGCATATTCCAGCTTGCTCTGCAGCACTGTCATGATGAGCGAGGCCACGTTGCCGCGGTCCCTCATGGAGAAGCTGCGCTGGGACTCCAGGGTGCGGATGAAGGACAGCAGGAACACCTTGTTGTTGATGAGCTGGGCAAAGAGCTTCAGGCCTTTCTCCACCCTTTCCTGCCTGTAGCCGGGGACCTGCACAAGAAGAAAGGGAGTTTATGCCTTTATACCTTTCTCAGACCTCCCCCAAATGGGTCTCACACCCTTTGTTGCCTCTCTGCCCTCATCCCTCCAGCTCCTCCAGTTAAGGGAAGAGTGGAAGAGAGTCCACACATCATCCAATGATTAGGAAGCCTCCTACACACAGCCAGGTGATTTTTTTCTAATCCTGTGCTTCCCTCTCTGAACAGCACTTCCAAAAGGGATTGCTGGTGCCTGGATGTGGTACCACACCACGTTATATTTTTATTTTAGTCAAACTGAAGCCTTATTTTAGTTTCACCCAAAACTTCTTTCTCATTCCTGCAAGAAACCTTCTTACAGAGGTTTGGGGTTCAGCTTTAGGAGAGGCAGCAAGAAAGTGGATGGGAAAGAGAGAGAGGGGTCAAGTTTTGAGGAGATGAGGAGATGAAGAGATGTAGTGAGGCAGTGGCTGAGATGGCTGAGCTGATCATGAAGCTGGGCCTTGGTTTGAAGAACTAGGTAGAGAATTCCCTTCTCAGCCCCCTGGGCACCCTCTGGCTCCTGTTCAGCCTCCTGGCCATCCCAGCTCCCAGCTCCCTTCCTGCCTGGCTGCTCTGCAGCCCCTCTGGCCCAGCCTGGAGCTGCAGGGGTTGTTGTGGCCCAAGGGCAGGACCTGGCCCTTGGTGTTGTAGAACCTCAACATGGTGGTCCATGGTGGGCTTCACCCTTTCTGGTCCTTCTGACTCTAGACAAAAACAGAGCCTTAACAGAGAACCCCAAACTCATTCCTCCTTGTTGCTGAAGCTGTTCCAGTCCTTGAAAAAAAAAAGCTTTCCTGGAAGCTGGATGGTTTCACCGAAGAGCAGCACATGTCACTGAGACATGGATGTATTAATAACCAGCCAAACTTGGCACTTTAATACAAAATAAGTTGGCATGTTTAAACAACCAACTAATGCAGGCCCCTTACAGAGTCATTATTTTAATTCTGGAAATTAGAGTTCTTAGCTCCTTTTTGCATACAGCAAATAAATTACTTCCTAAATAGCTTGAGACAACCAACCAACCAACCAACAAACCACTACCACCCATCCTGCCAATAATTATTTTTAACTCACTTGCTTGAACATTTAATATTGTCTTTCCTCGGGTTATTATGGAGAATTAAGTAAAAAAATAACGAGAAAAGTATTTTGAGCTGCATCTGGAAGCAGTTAATTAGCAAATGAACTGGAAATAAGTGAGACCTTCTCACTGCAGGATCTTTTGCAATAAATAGCAACTCCTTGGTGCTCCAGAGAAGGGAGCAGAATGGGAGCTGCCTTCATGTTGGTACCAAAGATGTTGACACTGAAAGAGCTGCTGGAGCTTTACAGAGGATTAAGGAAAAAAAAAAACAAATGAATGGAATGAAAGGAAGGAGAGATCATAGGTGGTGGATTGAAACATTAGCTCTGTGTGTATCTACAGAGGGGAGCATCCGTGCTAAGACCTCTGTAGGGCTCAGATGCTATTCTGTGATCAGCTGTCTGGGGTTAATGAATGTAGGGATTGAAATGGGCTGTGGGGATAATGAAAGTGTTTGTGTGTGTGGACACACATGTGAGAGGGAGATTCAGCACCCCTTGTTTCTCCTGCCCATTTGTTGAAGCTGCTGAGTCACTCATCCTGAGGGAAAGCAGCTTGAGGCCACTTACCTGCACCCCAGAATTAAATATATGCTGTAGTCACTGTGTAGCTCAGCCTCCCACCCAGTCCCACAAGTCCTCCTTGCTGACAGATCAGGTTTTCTAATGGTTCTCTCCACATAGTTCCATGAATTTTGGCTCTTCCGAGTGGAAGGAGCAAAGACCAGCAGGGATCTCTGATTACACAGCCAGCCAAGCATGGGATTGCCTGTGCCAGCTCCTGCCTCTCCTTCCTGCCAACCAAGCCCAGTCTTGGCCTCCAGCAATCTCACCAGCCCATGCCAGAGCCCCTCTGAAGATCAGAACCTGCCAAAGACTTCGCAGAGAGCTGAGCCAACAACCTCCCTGGCCTTGGCCGTGGTGTAGCTCCTGATCCTCTGGCCCAGGTATTCCCAGAGCAGAGCCTCTCCATCTGCCAGAGCCTGAAGGTTGTTTTTATAAGGGTTGCCACAAAAAAACTGGCCTCTTGGTAGTGTGAGGGTCACACAAAGCCAGAGTGACACTGAGAAGTGTCCTGCTCTGCCATACATCTTTTCCTTGCCCCTGCACAGCAGTAGCTAATTAATCCAGTCTAAAAATCAAGCCACAGCAGGATGAAAACCAAGGAGAAGCTTAATAGAGTAGATCCTAATGCACACAGATCTGTGAGAGTCTTTCAAATAAGGGAGGGATCAAAGAGACTTTAACAGGTAACAAGTGACAGGACGAGGGGAAATGGCCTCAAGTTGTGCCAGGGGATGTTTAGATTGGGTATTAGGAAAAATGTCTTCACTATAAGGCTCATCAGGTATTGGAACAAGCTGCCCATGGAAGTGGTGGAGTGATTATCCCTGGAGGGATTTAAAAGATGTAGATGTGGCACTTGGGGACATGGGTTAGGGTGGAATTGGCAGTGCTGGATTAATGGTTGGACTCAATGATCTTAGAGGGCTTTTCCAACCTTAACAACTCTGTGATCTGAGTCAGCAGCCACCATCTCCCCCTTTCCATATGGATTTTTAAAGAGGTGCAGTTTTGTCTCCCTGGTAGGACACAACATTGGAAGCCTCAATGTCCCCACCCTACCACACCACACCTCAGCCATTCAGGACTGAACAGGGAGAAATGAGAGGATTCAGAAGCAGCAGATGTTGATTTCTTACCTCCAGATCCCTCAGAACTGGATGATCCTCGATGCCAGGGAAAAGCACCCTCATGGTGTAGGTTCTGTAATCCAGGAAAGGGATCCCGGCTCCATCCAGGTCACTGGTCAGCTCGTGGATATCCGTCTGCAGCTCTGCAAAGGCTGGCAACAAAAAAAGGAACAACTCAGGTAGCAGTGACAACCCAGATGTCCCTCCCCATGGTGGGACAGGCCCTTAGACCCACACACATGAAATTAAGGTGCAAGTGGAGAAGCAACAAGTGGAGAGGAAGGAGAAGGTGGACAAGAGCAGCGTCACTTTTCTTATACCACAGCCTTTCCCCAGAGACACGTGCCAGGGATTTCTCTGCACTGTGAGTTAGCAAATGCAGATAGGACAGGGAGGAGGAAGGCTGGGCTCAGGGAAAACAGGCAAAGTCAGATTAGATCCAGGTGGGAAGGCTCAACACTCTTTTTGCTTGTGCTGTTTTGGCTCAAAGCTTTGCGGCTGGATGTCCCCCTTCTACCAACACTGCCACAGTGCCAGCTGCCCTCCTCATCCTACCTTCTTTGCACTCTAGAGCCACCCTGGACTCCAGGTTGTCCATCTGCATCTGCAGGCGCTTGAGGGTGAGGTCGCTCTCCCGGGATTTGCGCTTGTAGGCGATGAGCACGGCCACGATGAAGATGATGAGCAGCCCACCAGCCACTGCAATGCTGACAATGGCTGGCAGGCTCAGAGGGCTGTCTGGAGAGATGTAGACCATCCCTGGGGAGAACTCCATCCCTCCTACACGAGCCTAGAGGGAAAAGCAGGGAAGAGTCACGCTGAAACACTCAGAGGAGCAGGAACACAGAGGAACTCCATCATCTCCTTGGCTAAGGCTGAAGGATGAGCTCTTGTCTCCCAAGCCAAAAAGGGAATCAGAGTCACTGTTTTTTTTGACTCTTCCACCTGACAAAACTGTATCTGGAAGCCTCTGAGACAGTAAGAAAAAGCCTACAAAGACCACAAAGCCTGGCCCGTGCTCTTTACAGCCCCTTTCTCAGCCACACAGTGGCGTGGTACAGATGCTCACCAGTGGGACAGGGAGTTGAACACGGCTTTTTGTTCTCCATGCACTTCCAGGGATTCCCAGAGCTGCTTCCAGCTTCTGGAAGAAGCTGCTGCGTGAGTACCTTACTTTTAACAACCAGAAGGAAACCCTGCAAGTGTTCCTGCTGCAAGCCCAACAAAATGTTCTGCTGAAGCAGGTCTGTTAGGAGTTCATCTTTACAGCATGAGCACCACTCCCAACAGTAATCCCACAGGATCCTGCTTGCTCAGGGCTACCACAAGGTTGTTCAAAGCTATTTGTAGAGTAGACTAAGTTTGAGTGACGGGGGAAAAAGCTCTGCTGAGCGGCCTGAAGGATAAAAGAAGGCTTGTAGGGCTGTGCTGTGGTTGGGGAACAGTGGGTATAGATCAGCATAAGGCTGGGAGGTGCCATGCAAAGAGCTTGAAGGATTGTGACGTGGTGATGAGCCCATCACTTTCACCCCAGAGGAGTTTTGTCACTGAGAGACACAGCTGGACCTGCACGAAGTGCAAAATCTTCCTGCCAGGTAGAAATGCAGTCAAGACCCCAAGGCTGAGTGTTTCCCACTCCCACTGCAACTGGGACCACTGCAGCACGCAATTAAACTCTTTTCTTCCTCTGTTATGAGGAGCATCCCTCACGTTTCCAGCTCCCACAGCAGCTGGTGAAAATCTTAATCCCCCTGGCTCTCAGCTCATCAGTCTGTCTCCAGCCTGCCTGTACACACATTAATCCCAGGCCTCCCATGGCTCAGCTCAGGCACCTACTCAGGTTTCCCCTCTGGGTTGCAGGAGGAAGGATCTGGTCCAAGGAGGAAGGGTTGGGGCCAGAAGAGACTGTGGAACAGAGTTGTGAATTAATGAAGAGTTTTCCAGCTGCTCAGCACCACAATCCTTTCTGGGGATGTGAACCTCTGTGACCCCACCATCTCCTAGAAATTATTCCAGTCCCAGATGTGACCTCAGAGAAGATGCTGGTTTTGCTCTGCCATCAGGTGTAGGCTGCTCCTTAGTGGGTCCTGGCCAAAGACAACACAGCTACAACCCTTATGTCATGGACAGGACAAAAGTGAATGTCTGAAAATACCCAATTTTCATCCACAAAGTCCTCTCATGCCGTTGTTTGGATGGGCTTTAGAAAGATGGCAACGTCCACAGTGAGAAACGAAACCAACCCCAAATTTATCTGCCCAGGTAATAAAGATGCCATTCCTGCAGCATGACACTGATGACTTGTAGAGCATCTTCACAGGCCATGGAACAGCCCATGCTGGTTGAGGAGGCAGCAGTAACCAGTTTTCCCACCTATTTCAAGATCCAAGGCCCAAATCACTTATAAAACCTGCACAGGGCAGAGGTTTGGGATTGGTACATGACACACTACCCAACTCACATCCTGCTCCATGCACTGAAAGCTGTTCCCTTTTACTGCAGACCACTGTTCCAAATCCTCCCTCCTAAAGCTTGCAGTTTCCTTCCTGCCACAGTGGATCAATAAATGGATTTATTCCACTTCATTTTCTCTTTCCAACAGTGGCCCTTTTCCTCCAAGCCCTGCAGTCAGATGAGTCCATTCAAGGAGTACCAGACTAAAATCAAACAAGCCCATCCCAAATCCCAGTGCAGGTCTGTCCTCAAAGCTCAGAGAACAGCCCATCTCCATGGGTGGGATTTCTCTCTCCAAATATTCCACAAGCACATCTGAGTTAGTCATTCCAGCACGATTTCAGAGTCAATAAAGAGAAAAAGCACTTTTAGGATGGTGATTTATATGAGCTGCTTTTGACACCTCCTTTGACATCAGGATGAGATGTTTGATTCAGTGTAAGTTCCCATTAACTAGGAGAGGATTTAGGCTCCTAAAGGCAGGTGTCTAACAAAGTGTGTTCCTCTTTAAAGGTGGTTTCAACACCGGGAAGGTCTCACAGCCCACAAGTAAAACTGCCTTGATGTGAGAGAATCTGCCTCTTGGAGAAGAAAGCCTATGAGGCTGCAATATTATTTTGAGAATTTAAATGAAAACCAGGCAAATATATAGATACAATAGCCCTACTTGATTTCTTGGGCCACCAAGTGGTTCTAGGGGAAGCTGTTTATACCTTCCAGAAGACTGAATGTGAACCCTCCATATTAACCAAGCACCGGTTTGGCCACTTGTTGAGCCTGTTCATCATGAATTTGTTCTAAGGGGCACTATGGCAAACATCAGTTTTCACCAACAGAGTCTTAGAGGTCACCTGTAGCAGTTCAGGAGCTCCTCTTGTGCAATGCTTGCCTCTGGTGGTGTCTTTCCTGGTGCAAGTTTGTCCCGGCCCAATGGAAGTGTCTAATTTAGGATGAGAGGAAATGTGCCCCAAACGTCAATTGCTACATTTGCCCATGTCCCCATTCACTGCACAAAGAGTCCAGTGGGAATTTCTGGGTGCAAGCACCTGGAATAGGTACCAGGAATCATTTAGGTGTATCCCACATCTTCACTGCAGACCTTCTCTAGCACAGTTTGGACAGTACTTTTAGGCAGATGGTGGGACTCTTGAGGATGGTTCTGTGCAGGGGGAAGAGCTGGACTCAATTATCCCTGTGGGTCCCTTCCAACTCAGCATATTCTGTGATTCTGTCATGGGTCTTCCTCATGCTTCTATCTTCTCCTTGGAAAAAACTTGCCTCTGAGTTTTAGTCCATCTTTTTTTTTTATCCATTGCTCAAGGCTTTTTATTTCTTTCCCATTTCTTTTCAAACACTTAACTCTGTCGTTGTACAAAAAAGAGCTGAACCAGATCAAAAGCGTGTTGCCATCAGTGTGTGTCATTGTCACCACTCCCTTCCCTTAGAAATCATCTCTGAGTTGCAGTGGTTGATTCACTCCCGTGGCCCCCTCTCAGATCTTGGCCATCCCACTTTGCAGGGGAGGGTTTGTTCAGCCATCTCCTCAAGGTCACCCAGCAAATCATTGACAGAAGCAGGAGGGGGACCTGGGAGAGCTGCCTGTCACTTATCCTGACCATCAAAAAGATGTTCCTGTGACACACTGGGATACATTTTGTACCAGCCCCAGCAACAAGAGATGCTGTGCCATGCTGGAGGGGGCATTTCCCAGCCCAGCTGTCCCCTGTTAAGCTCCAGATGCAAAGTCCATCCTTGAGCAATGGCCTCCATCACAGGTGACCTTCTGCACTTGGTTCCCAGCCCAGACCTGTCAAAGTGTTGCCTCTGTGTTGGCAGTTGAATAAAATCTGTAGCTTGCCCTAAAATTGATGCTCATTAACAGGCTTCAATGCCACCATCTTCCCATGTTTCCAGCATCCTCAAAAAGGGATTATTTTTTAATCTTTGGCTTCACTTAAACTGTCCCAAGCTGCAGGAGCCAGGGAGTCTTTCCCAATTAGTACAACCTGAGCAGATGCTCATCCTCCCTGATCCCCAGGGATTGATTATTGCTCACCTGACTTGGAGTTTTCTCTCTCTGTAGGCTTGGCTTTGCCCACCTCTGACTGACCATATGTTTAATTTATATCCATGAAAATGACAGGGAGCATCCTTTGCCACCTTCCAAAGCTTTGGTGTTCACACAGAGAGAAAATCTCTCCCTTCGTTATTGCTCTTCTTGGAGCTTCTTAATGTGCTTTACAATGAAACCAGAGTCATGGGACATTTGCATGGCTGGAAAGGATTATTACCTCTATTTTCCAGATGACAAACTTTGGCACAGAGAAGCGGAGTAGCCAGAGTGAGGTCTCCCAGCAGCAGTCACAAACAAGACCCAAAATGGTCATCACAAACTCTGTTTTACTAAAAGTTCCCAGAAAACTCTATTTCTAAAGAGCCATGCAGCGTGTCCCCATCATCTGTGGGTCTCACTGCACTGAAATAAATAAGTATGTGACAGATGCAGCTTTGGGAGGGCAACAGAGGGGTGGAAAAAGTCATTCACAAGGGATAAGTAACACTGATGTCAGTTGTCAGCTTTTGTTGTTTCTACCCACAGCCTGGTACAGCTCCAGTGAGTTTGCTGATGTGCTGTTTATCAAGCAACGGCATCAAGGGATGCAAATTACTGAGAGGAAAGTGAAGAAGAAGTAAATAAATCAGCTGTGAGAGGAGGAGAAGCTCCCTCTGATGTAATCACTAGGTCCATTCTTCACAGGTTCCAGGAAGGATGGGCAGGAGTAAACTAAGTTTTAGAGATGTCAAAACCTCAAAGTCCAGTCACACTATCATTCATATCCTGCATGATTTTTTTGTCTTTCCTACATTAAGGCAGATTTAAACCACCAACATGTCAGTAATTGGTGGGGACATGTATGATCTCACATGAGCATCATAGGTCATAAGAAAACAGAAGAGGGGCAAACTTTCCTAAAGGCTTTTGATTATGAAAGGTTTCCCACAAAGATCTCCAGGTCACTCTTCTCCTCTTCTCCAAGTTACCCTTGGAGGGGATATTATATCAAAAAGGGGCCCTGATGTTTCTGGGAAGGCAAATAATGATGCAAACCCCTCAGAGATTTCTCTCCCAGCTCTTCAGCATTGCTGTGCCCTCCCAAGCCACCCAGGGAGTGGAGGCTGAGGCTCAGGCAGCACTTACCATCACCTTGTGCCTTCCAATGAGGTTTGGGGACTCACAGAGCAGCTGCACATCTGACACAGTCACCGCACAGGGCTTCTCCCCAACCAGAACGGTGTAGTTCAGCTTGGCATTCCCTCCTGCCACTGGTGGGATCAGGTTCTTGCCCTGGACAGAACAAATCACCCCACAAAAATCAAATAAACATCAGCAGAGAGTTCTCTTTTCCCCTCTAGTTCATTCCTGGGACACAAGTTTTAACACTGCACTTCACAGCTGTGGCTGCCCCATCCCTGGGAGTGTCCAAGGCCAGGACTTGGAGCAACTGGAGTAGTGGAAGGTGTCACTGCCCATGGCAGGGGTGTGGAACAAGATGGTCTTTAAGGTCCCTTCCAACCCAAACCATTCTTTGATTCTGTTATGACATCTGTAGTTCACCATTTGCTGACACAGAGAGGAAGAGCCAATTTAGGAAGTCAACAGGAGTGGCTGAAGACTCAGATCAGGCACAACAGCCTGTCCTGCTCCCTTCTCTCTGGAACTGAATTAGAAATGTTGCATCAAAGTCTTGCACAATCAAGTCCTCGCCAAACATAGTCAGGCAAGGAAGATAGACCCCTTCCACTTCCAAACATTCCAGAAGCACAATCATCTCTTTGCATATGCACCACGTGAAAGAGCTGATACAGAAATGCTCCATCACAAAATTCCTCCTCTGTATGGCTGTGCAGATTACAGAAATGACAAAGGAGTGGTTTGGGTTTAAACAGGGGTGAGAGGAAGGTCTTGCAAGCTCAAAAAATGAAATAGAGTTGGGTGTTTAATTGTCAGCCCTGTTGCAATCATAGAAACTGCTCTCTGGTGAGCAGCAGTTGGTACCAATTTGGGCTGCACATGGATAGTTCCATCAGGACTTCATATTTCCTGGTTATGGGTATTGGCAGAGGTTGGTGTTTGCAGGTGGTGACTGATATGATTCAGCAGCAAGGAGTGGAGGAAGTTTTTGTGATGCCACCATGGTTTGTGGGGTGCTGGCAGGCCCAGAGAGGCAACAGGCAACATGTCCCCATCCAGCCCTTGGTCCCCCATCTCACCTTCAGGATGATGGGACTTCCTGGCTTCAGCTCCAGGATCCCCGAGGGGTTGAACACCTCGAAGATGGGGTTGGGGTAGTAGGTGAAGTTGGTTTTGTTGAGGATCAGCAGGGACTGCACGTTGTCAAGGATGAAGCCAAACTCCTCCGGGCGCTCGGCGAGCTCCGACTGGTGATTGGGGTCCACAGCCAGGGCTGGGGCCTGGCAGGTCATCTCTGTGCTGTTCTGCACCTCACAGTTCTGGGGAGAGAAACCCACTGTGAGCAGTGCCTGTGGAAAATGTCCCTCCTGGTGGGCAGATGCCACCCAGATGCTGCCCCACCCACTGATGGGGGACGGGGAGGAGCAGAACTTTTTGGTTACTGTGCGGACCAATTTTGGTCATTTTGGTGCTCCACTGCTTCAAAACATTGCCCATCACACAATCAAGGCCCCAGAAAGGGTCCATACACAGCCAACACTTTTTCAGATGCTGCTGTGTGGTCCCATCCTCCAGCCTACTGTAGATATCACCAGGTGCAGCCTATTCCCGAATTTCCTAATTGGAGGTGCCAAGCACACCTTTTCCAGCTGTACCTGGAGCTCATCAGCTACTGCTAAGTGGCTCCTTCTGAGTGAATTATCTCCCAGACCTTGACTCTGCTGGTCTCCTCAGAGCTTCTTGTGATTCCTCAGTGCTCACACAGAGTTGAATTAGGTTGTAAATCTAACTGGCTATACCTGGATACACTCTTGCAGGATCCCAAATAGTCCATGGAGTGGACACAGTAGGACCAGAGAGTATTTTTCTGACCACAGTGTGCTTAGTTAATGACATGAATTTAGGCCTCAAATAACACAGGTTATACATGTGCCGAGAGAGAGGACAGGTGTCCTTGAGCCAACAGAAGAAACAGGCTTAGAAGAGATCAGGAGCTTCATTACACCTCTTTGCTCCTGTACTCCTTCAGGGATGAGGTAACGTTCTGGAAGCAAGTCATGCCCTGGTTTTGGGATGCAATTCCAAGCTGTTAGCCAGCCCCTAGCACCACCATGGCCACGTCCCCTCCCCAGCCCAGCAGCCACACTCACGTTGACGTGCTCCTTCCCACCGTGCTTCGCCCGGATCTGAGGGTTCTGGATGAGGTCCAGGTGAGTCCCCCACACTGCAATGGGTGTGTTGCCACTAGAGGAGAAAGGGAAGAGAATAAAGAACCCAGCTAATAGATATCAGGGCTGATCACACCGAAAATGCGTGATGTGTGTCTCTAAATGCTGGTTGCAAAGTATGTGACCACATCTCGCAGTGCCACGGGGAGGGAAAGAAGAACAAAACAAACAAATGACTTTTCATCCATTCATAAGGAGGGAAATAACTAAAAACACATGTTTGCTAAAGCTGTCAGATCAAGCAGCATCTGGGTGGTTTTTTATTGCCAGGACTCAGCAATCACAAGAGCTGATAATGGGAGGGAGGTGGAGATTTAACAGGGGCTCCTCAGAACGGTCCATGAGCTGTATCTCCTGGATCGCTTCAATCAGTCACAGAATGCCCTGAGTTGGAAGGGACCCACAAGGACCATCAAAGTCCAATTCCTGGCCCTGTAGTCCCACCTTGCCTGTTAAACCTGCTGTAAAACTTCACCCTGAACAAGAAAATGTCACCTCAGTGAACAACTTTTGGTGCTGCTGAGGAGCCCAGTCCTGCAGCATCTACAAGAAACCAAGCCAAAGTCTTCACCCTTGGTGTGCAGAAGGCATTGCCTTGGTTTCCATGAGGTGTTGGATCCAACATAGGACAGGATGGAGATTTCCTGTTGCTGCATCCCTTTGCTCAAAGAGCGGTTTCCTGAGAGAAAGCCAATCCATCCGAGCATCTGGGAGATTTTCTCCATTTTCCAACATCTCTCCCAGCCCAGATGGGACGGGGAGAGATGTCGATGGAGTTCATTCCCTGCAGTCACTGTCACCAGAAGGAAGCAGCTTTCAGAAACACCCTTCTCTCCTTTCCCTGCCTCTTCCAGCTGCAGCCAGTGCTGCTGACTGTGGGACTTCAGGGAGCAGGGGGGAGGGAGGAAGGAAACTGCAGAGGACCATTCCCAGGCTTTGAACACCACGTCAAGGCTTCTCCACAGGCAGCTTTGGCCACCCCAAACTGGAGCAGCCTTGCCCTACCAGGGTGAGCTCTCCCTTTGCTCCATGTGATGGGGGCAACACGAGGCAAGGGCTGGAAGGGGAAGAATTATCCAAGGAAGCAAAACCTGCAGCTGTCAGGGCTCCCACAGCCAGGACAGGATGAGGAAATGTCCTCAGCAGACGGCCCCATCTCTGAGGGCTTCCCAGGGTGAGGAGTGCTCTCATCAGATTCAACACCTGCCTCTATAACTCCCCTTGGAAACTGTCCAGGATGCAATTTATTTCCCTCTGAGGATGGGAGAAATCGATGGGATTGTGAAAAGAAAGCTCAGAATCCCTTTCCTGCCTCCAGGTAAACCTAAACACACAGGAAAGGTGGAGCACCTGCGTTATAAATGAGGAAACACCAGAGGATAAACATGCTGCGAGGAAGGAGCCAACAGATCTCCCCCATTCCTGACCTTTGTTTTTCCATGTTCCTCATTTACCTTCCATTATTAATCAGCTGAGGAGGCAGGAATGAATGCAAACAGACCTCTCTGCTCACAGGAGGGCTCTCAGGTTTTGGTGAGCTGGGCACAGATAGCTGGGACTGAGCTTCAGCCCCTCCAGCTGCACCCACGTGGATAAACCAAACAGTTTTGGTTTATCCCAAGAGAACTGGCACACACCATATCCTTCAGCAGGTGCTCCTGTGACCCTTCTCTGAGAGCTTCTTCGTGGTCTTTCATTCAAATAATGTCTGGAGTGGCCCATGGGTAGGACAACATTTGAGTTTTGCAGAGTATCTCAAGTTCTTGCTCTCTGAATGGAAAACTCCTAATGGGAAATTTTTGGGGGCAAATCCATGTTTTACCATTTCCATGAGATCTGGGTGGTTGAGCTTTCTTGAAATCTTCTCTGAGGTCAAACACTTACTTACAAGAGACTTTCCCCTCTGTGCCTTACCGAAGAAATTCCCTCTCCCCAAAATTCACAGTAAATATTCCTGATAACTCCCAGAGAAATAATCAGGGAGAACTTGCTCACCTAAACCCATAAGTGAAGTTTATTAACTACTTTATTCTTTCTCCACTGTCCTGGTTCTTCTGCATTTTTGGCTGTGAGCCTTTATAACAATAATTATTATTATGATATTATTATCATCATCACCATTATTAATCTCTGCTGATTCAACCTAGAAGGGATTTTCAGTCTTTACTCAGCATAAGTTTTACATGTTCCAGAAGTACCCAGTGTGTGCACATACATAGAGATATGTGATAAATAAAATCCCTTTATTTAATCAACCAAGTCTGTGCACACAGTTTTAAACCCACGTGTTAAAAATTCTCTGTTTGGTTTGGACACTGAGCTTGCAGGCTCAGACCACAGGTATTAAACACAACCACAGCAGAGGAGCAGAGAGAGGGGAAAAAAAGAGGTGATGAAGACACAAAATCACCTCCAAACCCTCTCTGACTAGAAAATAAAGCAGATAAAACCATTCCTTGCCTTGAAATCCACCAGCCACTTTTGTGCCTGCAGCTGAATGTCCAGTCAAAGCCACCTCTTGATCAGGTCAGATCAGAGCCTGTAGACCTGATGCTGCCCAGCAAAATGACAGAGGTGCCAAAAGCTTTCTGAATTTAACTCTTTGTTGCCCCAAAAGCCCTGGGTGTAATTTTCTGTCTGCAGACTCAGGTAATTGCTGGGAGTAACTCAACTGAAACCCAGATCAAAAGTATAAATGGAGCCTCATAAAATTCTATTTACCTGCCAGCCCAGTGTGACTCCTTGGGTTTGTTTTCTTTGGTTTTTTTTTTTGGCTATAGGAGTCAATCAGCAGTAATCTTTTCTTTATTGTCTTGAAAAATGTCTCCTGAAAAGGTTTTAAGCCAGGCTTGGTACAGGCAATCACTGATTTTGCAGAGCCGGTTTCGCAGCAATCATCTGTCCCTCAGCCAGGAGTGATGGATCAGAGGAGCACGGTGGATTTGCTGTAATGAATCATTCCACGTAGCAAACATACTGAGCAACAGTCCCCACATCCACATGTCTGGTCTAACTTATTCCTTGCTTCATTCTCGGGGCTGGGCTTGGCTGTGCCTTCACCCAGCTCTGTGTGCAGCGCTCACACTGCTGCTCGTCCCCATCATGGCCTGCTGGATGGAGCTCCACGAGTTGTAGGGCTTAAAACTGTCCCTGAACACCCTGAACATCCTGGATATTCCAACTTCTCCCTCTGCACCCTCCTCCAAGGTTATGCACCTTTGGAGTGACTCAGAAGTGCACACAAGAAAGAGGATGAGATTGGGTAGGTCTGGTTAAAATGAGGCTCCTGTTATTGCTCAGTAGATCCGTTCTGATTTCAGGCACTGAAGAAAGCAAAGGGTAGAGGTTGTTCCTCAAGGTGTTTCCTCCCTGGAAGTGTTGAAATCATCCCTGGAAGTGGTCAGAAGGTGTGTGGAGGTGTCACTTGGGGATATGGTTTAGTGGTGAACACCACTAAACCATAATGGGTTAATGACTGGACTCAAAGATCTTAGAAATCTTTTCCCATCTTAATGACTCTATGATTCCATGAATGGGCAAGTGGGGATTCCCCAGTCATCCCTTCTAGCAGCTGCACACCCCAAAAATAATGTGGTACCCCCTAAACGAGCAACTCATCCTAATTTCCTTTATCCTGGGAGTTGGGATGGGAGACCCAGTTCATCAGGACACGGAGTCCCTGCACCTCCAGGCTGGGCAAAGCTTTGCCAATCCACCTGAAACACCTTCTTGGCTGCTTCTTTTATGTCTTACTGGCATTTTCAGCAGAGAAAACAAGGATCAAACAGGTTCTGGAGCTCTGGAGAACCTCTCACCTCCCAGACCTGAGGCCAGACTGAGGAAGGTCCCCATGGTGCAGCTTTCCTGAGGATGTTTGGGAATTCACTCTCCTAGGTGTCAATCTTGCACCTTTTAAGCAACACTGAACTCACTTTAATAAGGAAAGGAGTCAAGTGATTTCCCATTTCACTGATAACCTGGACTCTGCCTGAAAATAAAAACCCCAAATGGAAAATCCCAACACTAAAGCTTCAAACCCGACGTGCAAAGACTCAATCCGGCTAAATCAGTAAATTCCCTCATGGTAATTAAAGACACTAATTGATTTGTGAAAACATCTTTGGGATGGGAGCTGAACTTGGGGGGGGGATTTACAAGCCCTGCTCCTAATCCCCAGGTACTCCAATCAGACCAGTTTGACAGGGAAGCAGAGAGCTGTGGGTGAATGAGGGGAGACTGAGATTCCTTATTTTGGATCTTTTCAAGGCAATATCAGTGCATTTAATGACCAATTTCTTCTTTCCCAAGGCCATTCCTGCAGGCTCCTGAGAGTGTTTGATGCTTTCCACACCCAGGGCAAGTGCTGCTCTCAGACCCCTTCGTGTGAACCCTCTGGATTCACCAAAGCAGCATCAGTGGGGTGAGGAAGAAAAGGGATCCCTAACGAGGAGGAAGCTGTTGGAGAGGGCAGGGAACAGGGTTCCTTTTGTGTTTCAGCTCAGGACAGAGCCCTGGGGCTTTCAGGTGTGATGGCCACACCAGCAGTGCTTAGTCCTAAGGCATCAAATCCATGGAGCCTGAGGGGAAATGTAGGAATTGCAAGTCCATGCATGCAGGCTGTGGGAAAAGTAAGAATTCCTGCTTTCAAACCCAAGGGAGAATTACTTCTCTAAGCACGTAAAGTTCACTCAGGGAACATCCTGGTGCTGGAGATAGACCCTGAGCTGCAGAAAGGAGGGAGAAAGCTTCAACTCGAGGTTGGAGACCTGCTGCACCCACCTTAAAACACGGAGTCTCCGAGGATTCTGGTGAGTTTAATGCAGCTGGATCTTGCTGCCTTAAACCAAGAAGTTGTGTTCTGATAGTGAAGGCAGGGTGCAGGATCATTTAGTTTGCACTATGCAGAGTTTGTTTTGAGAAAAGACCCTTATCCTGCCCATCCCTCACCGTGGGATCTGTGGAAATTTTGCCCCAGGGTGCACACTGAGCAACCAAGGTGTTACTACCACACACAGCAGCACTGCTGGTCTTTCAGTCTTCCCAGGAGGCAAATCCACCAGCCCTCGTTGTTTGGGCTCTGGGAAGTAGCTCTGCACCAATTCTTAGTGAACACAGCTCTTGGAAAGCAGTTTTCTGCACCAAGGACCAATATTATCCCAGCAGTGCTGCATTGGAAAACCGTGGGAGGTGGCAGGGGGTTCCCATGGGATGCTCACCTGAAGATGCTCCACTCAGGCTCGATCCTCAGGATGGTTGGATCCTCTACATACTCATAGTGCAGCTCCTGATGTATCTTGGCCTTGTCCACTCTCACAGACACCTTCACCTTCTCAAAGCCCTCATAGGAGGCAGTGGTGTTGCAGACAATGTGCTTGGTGGATCTCCTGGGAGCAGAAGCAAGTAAATAGAAACCAGCAGCGAAACAAATGGTGCCAAAAAGAGCCCAGCTACTCATTCTTACGTCCTGTGACCCAAACCTGTGCACTGTGAAGTGCTGAAAGTCACTGCTCCAGGAATACGGTGCCAACTGTTCATCTGAGGAAGTACCACTGTGTTGCTTTTCCACTAGTTTAAATAAAACCACAAGAGCCATCATTTCTCAGGGCTCAGAGTGAAAACTGAACCCCAAGGGAAGTCCAAGCCAGGCCTGTCTACAGAAGTATTTCTCTGTGATTAAATGTTTGATGGATGTTTCCTTCCTGCCTGTGGACAGATGCAGCAGCACCTCATGAAAGGGGTGTTTGCACCTCAGCCTTCCAGTCTGGGATCATAAAGTTTGCTTTGCATTAGGACTGTAAGCCTTGTTTAAGTGCACTTTGCAGCGTGCCTGGGACCTCTGGAAAGTGCTAATACAGTGGGGAGCATTTTATGGTTATACTCAAAGAGGATTCTGCATAAAACTTTTCCTTTTGGGCTGGGCTCCAAAACCAGCTCCAGGTCTGAATTTTGCATCAGTGTTTTCCTTCCACAATGAGCCAAAAATCCAGGCTCCCAACATCCTCAATCTCCCCAGTCCTGTGATTTGTGATGCAGCCTCATCTTACACCCCTAGAAAGGTGGTCCAAGTCACCTTCAGTGGCTGCACCTCCAGGTGCTCCCCGAATTCCCCTGAAAGACAACGTTCAGTCCTTCCTAAAATTCCCCGGTCTCTTCAACAAGCATCTCCGAGCAGCTGTGGTTCCCACTTGGCACTTTAAATCACAAACTGGGACTTCAGCCTCCCGAATTATAGATGCTGGATCACACCAGAGTCATGACAGGCCGCTCAAGAGGATCCCCACAGCCAGGAGAGGGAAGGGCATTGCCCCAGGGCAGAGCTCCCAGGCCTCCTGTGAATGAGCCCTTGCTCTGCCAAGGACATGTTGGGAGAAATGTGCCAACATCATCTTCAGCCTCCACCCACACTGGCAGCAAAATGTGTTGCACTGGGTAGTTTCGAGCTGCAGGAGCCCCTGGGAATGGGATTCAGGCTCATTCTCACAGGGATCAGGGAACATTCAGCAGGTAACACTGACATTAAGCTTCTCTGAACTGCAGTTGAACAGGAGCCAACCCAGAACTAAAACATTGCAAATCATCCATTTCTTAGCGCTACAGGACTGTTCTGGGATAAAAGGGAGGTGGTTTAATGCTCAGAACTGATGTTGTCAGATTTTCTTTGTCACCTCTCCTAAAGCAGGGACATGAAAATGAATCTTTTAAACGACGTACTCCCGGCGCGAGTAGCAAAGCGCGGGACCGTGGAGAATTGTGGCGAAATTTGACAAGAGGCCACGGGAAAAAGCACATCAAATACCAATCAAAACAATGAAATAAATCCTATTCTCCCTCCCCAAAACACGCTCAGGAAGGCAGTGCATGGTGCAGAATGCACAAGTCCCATCGCTGCACAGACACGGCCACGGGCAAAGGAGGCACTTGAGGGACAGGTTGCAGAAGCCTCCTTGCTATAATTGCTCAAATCTTTCACCCCCTAGGCAGGAGCAGGAGCAAGGGCTCGTCTGTACCTGTAGAAGAGGCAGGGTTGTCTCCCAAAGGTCACGATGACGTTGCTGCCAGCGTTGAGGTTGTTGCCCGTGATTGTCACCTGGGTGCCACCCGACACCGGTCCCCGCTTGGGCTTGAGGTCAGAGAGGGTCAGGGTCTGTGAGGGGCAAAGGGTGGTGTTGAAAACACAGCAGAGGAGCAGAGGTACCTTCCCCTCTCTTGCTGCAGTTAATCATGTGACACAGGTAATCATGATTTCAGAAGATGACCATGTCTTCTGGCCAACAGAGGACACCAGTCCTATCACAGACATCCTGCTGGAATGCCAGGTGTGGTGGGATGAGTTCAGACCTTTACCCCAGTCACTTCTCCTCACCTCTGCAAAACCAGACCTGCCCTTGTACGCCCTCAGAAATACTCTGCTTCCAAAGGCAGTTCCATGCCTGGAGCAGCTGGAGCCATGATCTCCCTCCCCCACTGTTTGTTTGACACAGCTTGGGTGTCTTTTTGCCATTATGCAACACCAGCTCTGCAAGATAACTCGGGTCTTGAACTGCCTGATTGGATCTTAATGGGGATCTCCCCACCTCCAAACTACGGAGCTCACAAGGGAGGAAAAATTGTTTGGTCTTGAAAAGATCGCTCAGCCCTGTTGATCTGAGAATCACAGGGTGGTTTGGGTTGGAAGGGACCTGAAAGATCACCTTGTTCCAACCCCCTGCCATGGGCAGGGACAGCTTCCCCTAGAGCAGGTTGTTCCAAGCCCTGTCCAACCTGGCCTTGAGCACTTCCAAGGATGGGTCAGCCACAGCTTCTCTGGGCAACCTGTAGCAGGGCCTCCCCATCCTTACAGCCAAGAATTCCTTCCCAATATCCCATCTAACCCTGTGCTCCTTCAGTTTAAAGCCATTCCCCCTTGTTCTATCACTCCAGGCCCTTGTCCCCAGTCCCTCTCCAGCTCTCTTGGAGCCCCTATAGGTACTGGAAGGGGCTCTCAGGTCTCCCCAGAGCCTTCTCTTCTCCAGGTAAACCCCCCCAAGGAGAGAACAGAACCTGCTGTAGGGTCCCACAGAGATGTCTGTAACCTCCCCCTGCACCCACAGGGCTTTTTCCCTGGGATGAAGGAGAGCTGTGCTTCAGCAGAGAGTCTGAGCTTGCTTCTTGCCTCTCCCACGTGCCCACACGTGACCCCTGATCTTTCTCTTCCTCTTCTCAGATTTGGATGCTGGGACAGCCCAGCCCTGCAGGATTGCACTGACACTGTCGTGCACTGACACAGCACGGCCTTGCTCAGGTTGAGTGTCCCCTGAAATGCCACAGCCACAAAACCCAGCACTGCTCACATGAACACCCTTTTCCTTTCTCTGCTGTCTTTCAGAGCCTCTTTTCCAGGCATAACACAGCGCTGTGTTAATATATCAAAAAGGGCCACAATTCCTTTAGAGGCCCCAAATCTCAAACCTCTTTTTCTCACCCTCCTGCCCTCCCTTCTTCCCCGAATCAAGATAAAATACTTGCACTCCGAAGGCACAGATCACCCTGTTACCACAATGCAGAGAGGAGACATCAATTTTCAGGGAGAAATTTGGAGTTACAGTTTATTCTTTCATTTGCATTTTAATAGAAAAACTTTCCATTCAGTCCCAAGTGAAAAGCTACTATATGCATTTAAATGAAGATTATTTCTTTCCCCCTCTCTTTAAGAGTGATGACACAAGTGCTTGAAGCTCTCAGCTCCTCTGAACGAGCAGGTACATCACGCAGCCACCTTATTGAGCTTTGGAGACCATTAATCCATGTTTATAAAACCACCTGACACACACCACAGCTCCCACTTTCACACACACAAACACACACACACACACAGAGCCTTCTCTGCTCCTGCCCCCCACCCCCAATCCCGGTTAATCATTTTGAAAAACAGCGGCCAGATTTCCATTTTGCTTTTGTTGGAAATGCAGCTCTTGGAGTGAGGGCAGAACGTGAGAATCAGACACACAGCTCTGCAGAAGGATCTGTTGTCAGAGCTGGGCACTTCTCCTGTTCAAACTCGAGGGTTTGGAAGCTGTTTTTATAATTAGAATCACAGAATTATTAAGGTTAGAAACAACCCTGAAGATCATCGAACCCAAACGTCAAGCCAGCACTGCCAACCCTACCACAAAACCACATGTCTAAGCACCACATCCACGTGTTTCTTTAATGCTTCCATGGACAATGGTTCCACCACTTCCCTGGGTGGCCTTGACATCCCTTTCCATGAAGGAATTGTCCCCAATGTCCAACTTAAACCTCCTCTGGAACAACAGGCTGGGAGTGGCCAACTTGGTGCCTGAAGCACACATAAAAGCACTGCAATAGTATCTGATTCACAAACCACAGAGGAACATTTGAGTTTAAGACCCAAAACTTTAAGACCCCACCCTGGATGGGTCTCCTGCCCTCTCCTCAGAGGTGGATAAGCCAGCCAAGCCCTTTTGAGGATCCTCACCAGCAACACTCCTTGGCAAAGCGTCGCTGTGTCTCGGGCCAGTCTTACAAATGGGTTTGTGGCTGAGCTTTCAGAGTTGTGATAAACCATTAATTATTCACAGTGGCCTTCATAAATATTGCAAAGCATGTTCACAGTACAGCTCTCAGCCTCCAGACTATTCACCATTTCCTTGCTGGTGAAAGGTGATGGAAAATGCAAGATGTGGCTCTCCAAAAGGCTGAAGTGGACAGTGACGATGAGGAAGATTGAAGAGGAAATCTGCACCTTTTCAGGATTTTTCCTACTTTCCTCAGCTCCCCAGCCTTTTACTGTCCTCCAGCATCTCCTCCACACAGTCTGTCCACCATCAGAGCTGTGTCTGATGACCTCATGGTGCATATCAGGACCTTGATTCCCACCTCGTTCCTCCTGGGAACAAGGGTGGAGCAAGATGTGACTCACACAAGGGTTTCCACCCTATAGATTCAACAGCAGCAGCGAGAGCAGGAAGATGGAAGGGATGGATGGGAGATGCTCTCCTAGGACAAGGATTTTAGGAGCAGATCCAGAAGAGATGCAGAGCATCCCACATCACCTGCACTGAGACACAATGTTCTCATCTAAACCCTGAATAAAGCTAAATGTGCGTCAGCACCTGAATTGAAAAGTGAAGATAATTTTTTTTTTTTTTAATAGAAAGACTGTGGCAATAATCACAGCAAGAAAATGAATAACTTCGAAAAAAAAAATTTCATTTAGATCATCATAAATTTAATTTCAGCTTTGTTTCCCTTTTGGCTTATTGTACTCTCTAATGCAATGTGCAGTTTTCGATCGCAGATGAGTTTAAAACAAACCAACAGCCTTTTGAATTTAAAAGTTCTCATTAGAAATGTGGAGAAGAACTGGTGTGGCACCACTAAACTAAGGTGCCACTTCATTAAAACACTGAAATTAAATCCTCTGACGAGCTCAAAACATGATGTCTTTCAATTCTCGCAGGAGAGGGAGAGGCTTATTGGCCAACTTTGGGCAAGTTTTGCCTCAAACCTTTTGCAAAGCCATTTTCCAGAGGATTTACTATGAGTCAGAAAGCCACATTTATCTCCCTTCCTTAGTTTTTCGAACATCTTCCTTCCCTTCCAGCTGCCGAGGATGCCAAGGCACGTTGAGATGCATCAGCATCTCTGCCCTCCTGGCAGGAGCATCCAAGGAAGCCAAAAACCACAGCTCCTGCTGTGAAAGCACCAGACTCAGGAGAGGGAAAATATGATGGGCAGGCTGGTTTTTTGGGATTTTTTTGTGTGTCTGACACAAAGGTACCGAGGTGTGCTGAGCAGAGAAAGCCCTGCTGACTGCGAGCTCCCGCACGGCTGGGAATGCTGGCAGCGGGAAAGCTGTCACAGATGGACACGGATGATCAAAACCAGACAGCAATTCCAAGAGTGGCAAAGGTGACACGTGGAAGTGTAATGTCCTGGAAAGGACCCTTCTGTCTGCCTGGCAGGGGCTTTGTCTTGTGGTGTTTCTCTGCCCCCGCCCCGGCAACACCTGAGTGACATCGGAAAATGCGGAGAATGGAGAAATACCCCTGGCTCGAGGGGGAAACCTGAGACATTTGCATTCATTACCAGTCCCTTTGCCATCAAAGAAATGCTCAGGCATGTGAATAATTACAGAAAAGTCCCATTCCCTTGCAGGAGTCCAGAGAGCTTTTGATGGGAACAAAGAGACCCTCTTCACGTCAAGCCTGCACAGATCTGCACAGATCAAGGCCAGGCAATGCTTGCATGTCCCCAGCAAGGGGCCTTAGAGGAATAATCAGGTCTCTTGGCCAAGGAACATCATCAGAAAGGATTAAAAAAACCCAAGTCAAGTGCGCAACATGTGTTTGTGCTTGAACTGAAGTCCGAGCTTGCAGGTGTCCATCGTTTCATCGTGGAGCATCCAAAACATTTGCCCACGTGCACTGAGCCCCAGTCACACCCTACAGCTCCCCAGCAGCCTGATCTGGGTGTGTCCTGATCCCAGCACTTCTGGGATGGATGGGATGAAGAAACACCTGGGGGAATCCAAGAGTGAGGAGGAAGAAACCCCAACATGAGCATCCCACTGCTCATGAAGACTCAGTAGGAATGACTGGTAGCAACTCCCAAGTTTCTTCTGGAGGACACTGGGGTTTTTTTCCATTTTCTTTTTTTTTTCCCCTTCTTTTTCCCTCCCCTTTGTTCTTTCCTGTACAGCATTTTTAACTATTAATGAGAATTTTCTGTACTAATTTGGACTGTGGCCGTATGGAACTGTAACTGGACTAATAATCTGGACTATTATTAGATTGTTAAAACTTTAATTAGACAGGCTATTTTTTGCTCAGAACAGGATGTCGAAAGGGAATGGAATGAACAATTTGGTGCCCTCAGAACTGCAGTGAAGAGCTCAGAGGCTCAATATGATGAAGGACAATGGGTAGATGCAGCAAAGGGGACCAAGGCCTGAGGACCCTCAGGGCCAAGGAGAACTTCTTGCAGGAACTTACCATGAAGTAATAGAGCTGTGAAGACCTGGCCATGAACTCCGGTTTGCACTCAGCCACACAGATTTCCACAAATCCAGCATGTTGGCTGGGCTTGGCCTCCCCCATCTCACACACTATCCTGTGGAGGAAAACACAGACCAGAAGCACAGTTTGAGGGATGGTTTGATGGTGTGGGTAATCCAGAATCCAACCTGGGGACTGGGTTATTCTTTAAAAAGTGGTGGCCTTTGGTTGTTGGCACTTGGTGGGACACACATTTTGGTGGTGTAAATAGATATAGTTTCCCTTAAATATACTGAGAAATTCCAGGCTGAGGTTTGACCCTGGGGACCCCTCTGCCCTCCAGGCTTGCATGGTGGAGGCAGCTGTCAAGTTTAATGGTCACTGGTGCTCAGAATGATCTTAGGGTTGCTGCTGCCCAAACCAGAATTAAATACCCTTTTTGTGAAAAACAGAGGGTAACTTCATGGCACAAGCCATGAGAATCATCTAAACATGCAATCCAAACACAGTAATAAATGGATTGTCAGCTCCTGAGCTGCACGTGGGGAACGGCAGCTTCACTTCCTTGACTCCCAGGTTGGGTGGAATGGACTCCTGGGAAGGTCCTACAGGGATGACTGTCATTAGGTGTGCAGTGGCCCACTGTCTGCCACACACCCCACTTACTGCTCTGCAGGGATGTACCCTTCCACCAGAGGTTTGCACTCCACGCCGGCCACTTTGACGTGGGACGCGATGTCCCGGAACTCCAGCCCCAGGTTCTCCCCACGGATCGTCACCTTGGTCCCTCCCTCGCGAGGGCCCGTCACGGGGTTGATCTGTGAACAAGCCAAGAACAAGGAGAACAATCAAACCACAGTCTGGAAATCACAGAATCAACCGGGTTGGAAAAGCCCTCCCAGATCATCCAGTCCAACCTGTGATCCAAGCCCGCCCTGTCACCCAGCCCATGGCACTGATGCCACATCCAGCCTGTCCTGAAACACCTCCAGGGAATGGAGAATCCACCCCCTCCCTGGGCAGCCCATTTCAAGGGTTGAGCACTCTCCATGGACAAAATTCCTTCCCAATATCCAACCTGCCCCTGCCCTGGCCCAGCTCGAGGCCGAGCCCTCTTGTCCTCCTGCTGGTTCCCTGGAGCAGAGCCCGACCCCCCCGGCTCCCCCCTCCTGGCAGGAGTTGCAGAGAGTGAGGAGGTCTCCCCTGAGCCTCCTCCTGTCCAGGCTGAGCCCCCCCAGCTCCCTCAGCCTCTCCTCACAGCACTCGTGCTCCAGTCCCTTCCCCAGCCTCGCTGCTCTTCCCTGCCCCTGCTCCAGCCCCTCTGTGTCCCTCCTGAGCTGAGGGCCCAGAGCTGGACATTCCAGGGGTGGCCTCCCCAGAGCTGAGTGCAGGGGCACAATCCCTGCCCTGCTCCTGCTGCCACTCTGCTCCTGAGCCAGGCCAGGATCCATTGGCCTTCTTGGCCACCTGGGCACACCTGGATCATGTTCTATTTCCTATCAATCAGGTCCCAGAATCCCCTCAAGTGAAAGAACAGGCAATATCAGTCTTTTTGTGACCACTAGAGACACCCATAAACGCTGAACAACTGAGGGAACAAACCCACTCCAGATGCATCACTCAGTCCAGATCCCCTGCAAATATAATTACACATCCCCCAGCCTCAGAGTACACAAAATTCTGCCCCACATCCCATTTCCTCCTTTTTAACTACTTGCTAAACACCCAGAGATGAGTAGAAGAGTTTTCTAGGTGGGAGGAGTGATTTCTGGTGGTGCAGCTGAGCTCTGCACTTTATAGACACGAGCCATGGAAAGGCAGGAGAGGGGCGTGATGGAAAGAAATGGGATAAAGGACAACTATCCCAGCCATCCTGGTGCCTGTTTGGAATGATGTTTGCACCCCAGCTGGCCCTCACCAGCCCCCAGCAGGGGTAGGATCACTGTGTCTTGCTCCATCACCCTTGTCCAGAGCCAGGTGGAATCAGCACTGGGGCTGCCTCCTCAACGTTGGAACAGCACCAAAACCCTGGGGCTGGACCTCAGTTATCTCCGTTCTGCCCTTCCAATTATTCCCCGTGCCCAAAAGCTCTGCCATGCAACTTGAAAGGGGTTCAAAGAGCACTTTCAAAGGGTGTTCCCTGCTGCCCATTCAGGATGCCGTGGCTGCCATCTGCCAGCCTTGGCAAGGCTCTCTCCGCAGTGAGGGAAGGGGAATTCCCTGTCTGGGGTCTGAGGTCCTACCCACTCTGCCACCTGGGAATCTGGGCTGGCAGCTCCACCCTTCCCTAGCAGTTGGACTGGCAGGGAAAGTCGAGGCACTGGGATAAACAGGGCTGGTCTCCTCCACTTCCCAGCACTGAGTCTGGTGCCAGGGTTAGAGTAATTGCCATCCAAAGGCCAATTTTTAGAAGGTCCACCTTTAATAAAAGGGGAGAGAATCTGGCACCTTTAGGGGATATTTTATTTTGGGATATTTTATTTTAGGATATTAATTTTAGGAGCCATGAACCACCTCCTCAATGAGGGTGCCTTTGCTCTGACTTCACAGGGAGCCAACAGAGGTTATTAAATTAAGGATGATCACAGAGCAGTTCTTGGACCCAGAGGGTTGTGTGTCATAGTCAGAACATCTGCAGCACAAGATCCCTGCAGCAGTCCCACCTCAGGTCCAAAAACCAGGCAAATACCACTTGAACCAACAAAATCAGAGCCCTGGATGGTTTATTCCTACTCCAAAAGTCAACAAGATACTGAAGCCCTAAAAAGAAAATAAATAGCACAACATTCATAAACCTGACAGGTGAAAGGATTATTTGGGTTGGCTGGAGGTTTGAGCTTTGCATGGTCTGTGGTGATGAGATTGATAGACAAGGAGAAAAGAGATGAAAAAGAAGGAAGGGAAGAAGATAAGGAAAGAGAAAGAAAGAGAAAGAGAGAAAAGAAGGAAAAGAGAGAAAGAAAAGAAAAGAAGGAAAGAAAGAAAGAAAGAAAGAAAGAAAGAAAGAAAGAAAGAAAGAAAGAAAGAAAAGAAAAGAAAAGAAAGAAAAGAAAGAAAAGAAGGAAAAGAAGGAAAAGAAGGAAGGAAGGAAAGAGATTTTTGAGGTTATTTTCCAGAAAAAGAGGAAGTGTCCTAAAAGATGAGAACGAAAATGAAATCTCTATTCCAGGAGAAACTAATACTGATTGTCTCAGCTGGGGAATCAACATTGAAAACTTTTCCAAAAATGGCATTTCCAAAATATTTTTATGCTGAATAATTAATAAATATCTATTCAAGCAAAGTTTTCTATTTAAAAGATTTATTTTGCTGATGTCAGTTAATCCTCTCCTGATAAAACACTATATCAGTGATGCCAGAAGGCTGGAATACATCACCATACCAAATGCAATCTCACGTGTTCTGAAAACGAAAAAAAAAAGAAAGATAAACTAAAATTCCCCTGGTTTATTTTGTTTCCTATGTACTACACATATTTTTTAAGGGAACTGAGTTCCCCATGGAATATTTTGGTCCTGTTTTGTGGTATTAAACTTGCCATATCAAATGGGTTTTATTTGTTGTGGTAAGGTGGCTGTCAGGTAGGGGAGGTCTGTTTTGAAGAGCTCAAAAGAGGATTCTTTTTTCTCGTATGAGTAATGTCTTTACCCTGAATAAAGAAGGTGCAGTGGTGAAAAAGAAGATCTTGGTAGAAAAACCCTTTCTTTTAGAACTGAGGGGTGAGTTGGAGACCAAATTTTCCCTTCAGAAGTTCCCTAAAAAAAAACCTCAGTGGAAAAATCCTCCTCCTTCCAGCTCGGTCCAAAGAAGGAGATTTTAAAAAATCCTTGCTGCGACTCAAAAAACATCAACAGGAAAATTCCCAGAGTGAAGCCAAATTCCCCGAGTTCAGAGCACCTCTGAACCCTCCCTGTGCAATGCTTAATTTGTGAAGGCCAGCTTCAAAAATCACTCATTTCCTCAAAACAGGAGGGGCCTGGGATTCTCCCAGGGGCACGTGGGAGATTGTTTAACCCCATTTCCCTGCACTCCCGTGGGCTCACACACGAAGGCGTTGCCAGGCTGTTTTCACAGGGAGAGGGAAGGAGCCTCTTTCTATCACAGGTGCAAAAAACACGGAATGAGACCTGTCAGTTTTGGGCAGGAAAATACAGGCAGGGAGACAAAACTGCCAGGAAGCCTCAGCTTTTTCTTGAAGACCCCGGAGCTGCACCACAAAAGAAGCTGTAGATGTAGGGTTGGGGTCAGAATATGGCAGAGAAATGTGGGGTGGACTCCAGAACATCATGACACTGCATGTCCTTGTGGTTTGGACTTCTGCTTTAGTTGACTGTCCCCATACCAAATTTTGTGAGTGTTTCAAAGGGTCTGAGAATCTTAAAATGTTTAGAAAAAAAGATTTCTCCCAGCTCCCAATAACTTCCAAGGCCTCAAAGTTGAATAATTCAGATAAAACTCTCCATCCTGGCTGGCTGGGCCTGGTTTCACAGCTTCAGGTGGTTCAGATGGGCTCAAAATTACCAGTCTCAGATAAATCTAGGTGTGGTGGAGACCTCTGCCTTGGCAACACCAGAATAAGCCACAGACATCAGAATAACTGGAAATCAAACAGTTCAGCTGAGTGAATACTTTGAGAACTGATGAATGACAGGAAGATGGATTGAAACACAGTAAGAGAGGTTCTTTCCAGTGTCATTTGGGAAAAACAGATTCAGCCCAGCCCTTGCTTTCCCAAAATGTTCAAGCATGGACATTGGTTTAGGGCTTGTCCACAACACCCACACTTTTTGATTCTTGACCAAGTGCAACTTAAAAGAGCCTTTCTTGCTTTCTAGGAAAATAACCCACCTAATTATTCCTACCAAACCACCACAGTGGAGGCTGGATTTTCCTCCTTTGCATTTCCCCTTATCTTGTCTGTCTCATTTTCCTCCCAATTCTTCTAACCTGCAAAATAAGGCCCTGGCCACACTGAAAGGGTGTTCCTGTTGACTAACAAAGGTGACTGAGAGATGCTTCAGGCAGGAAGGAGTTGGAAAGGATGGGGCTCTCATTTTCAAGGCTCAGGTCCTTCTGCCTTGGTCCAGTCAACAGGAAACCTTGTAAAGGGTAACATTATCCTGCAGGTTCTTCCCCCCCAGCCTTTCCCTCGTTCTCTCTTTATCATTTCACAGGACAGTTCCCAACTTTTCTTAATCCAGGATTGTTCCTGCCTCCTCCTTGAGCCTTCCAAGGGCAAACCTGACAACTGTACAAGGCTTTGTTTGCTTTTTGGGGGCTTATTTTTCACCCCTCAACACCAGCCAGGCAAACAAAAGGGCTTTAATCTGCTGGAGTCAGCGGAGTCTCGTTTTGTTCAGGGCATGGACTCTGTCCATGTCGTGATGCCAGGAAACATAAACTACAACCATCTCCCTTCCTTGACCTCCTGTCAGCAAAGCTCAAACCACTCTGGGATCACTCAACATCTCATTTCTCAGCCAGAGAGGCTGTTTCAAGAGGCAGTTGGGCTTCTTTGATTTACCCTCACACCGACCATTTGAGATGTCCCAGAGCACCTTCAGCTGTTCCTGTGGAAGGCCAAGTTCTCCTAAAGGCTTGGTGTCACATCTTCCAGCCCTGTCAGATGCTCTGGGTTCCTCAGATTGCACCAGCACACCGTGCCTGTGCAAACGAATCACATCCACGTGGACTGTGGTGGGAATTCTGACATCCTGGCTTGTAAGCACCTGGAGCTGTGTGTGCCTGCCTTTGAAGGCCACCCTGGCCTCCCATCCCCAAGTCCGACCCAGCAGGACTCACAGCCCCGCCCTTCCCACCACCGAATCACGGAAAATCGACCAAGGGAAGGGTGCAAGAGGGAACACCCCCCTCTTCCCGCAGATCCACGACTTACATCCGTGATCTTGGGGTTGGTGCACTTGCCCTTGGTGCTGGACAGCTCCAGCCACTGGCTGTCCTGGGCTGGGCAGTGCTGCTTCAGCGTGCACTGGTTCTGGCCCTGGCACCAGCCACACTCGAAGTCGGGGTCGGCTTTCAGGCAGAGTCCGCAGCTGTCCCTCATGGCCCCACACTTGTAGAGGTGAACTGCAGGGACAGGAAAACACAGAGGGCCTGAGGGATGCAGAAAGCACGGGAGAGGGTGGGGGGATCAGAAGGGAGGACGAAGGATGGGAGAGAGGAGGGTGTTCCAGGCTGCTCGTCCCATGGTCAGGGTGGGACCTCTCCAAGGGGGTGAGTATTTGGGGCAATAAATGGGCACATCCTTCTTGAAATAAGCTGCACCTCTTAGGGTTCATCCCCCAGGAAAGGGGGATATTTCTGCAAGATGAGAGCAGAAAGAAGCTGAAGTATGGAGAGGTTTGGGGGAACTGTTCTTAGTCAGTCCCTTCCTTTTACAGAGACTGAATGTCATAAAGTGCCACCTACAACCAGTCTCAGCCTCAGCACTTCATCCTAAAATGATTTTCTAGACCGGGTCAACCCACAGCTTAAACTTGGGGATTTGTCCAGGGTGAAACTACCCAGAACTGTGTTTTTCACTGCCACTCAGGTTTTTCACTTGACAGAAATAATATTAAAATAATTATAGATGATATACTATATATAAATGTATAGTATAAATACAAACTATTATATATTAATATATAAAAATATAATACACAAAAATGTATTATATTTAAAATATTGTAATAGAAAATATAATAAATAAAAGTAAATATATAGTAAAAATACTTAACAGTAAATACATAATGGCTTCACTCTGAGGCTGAATCCAGGGATTCACAATCAGCCTTTCCCCCTTCTCCTGCTCCAAAAACTGAGTCTGCTTTACATTTTGAAGCACTGAGTTGATCCCCCTCTAATACAGACAATGATTAATGCTTAGCTCCAGTTTGGGCTGTTAAGTGATTAGAAGCACTTAGAGCTTTTTCAAATAAAGCCTAAAGATGTTGCAGCCCTCCTAAGAAACAAGATCATGTTATTTATCCTTATTTTGCAGCTGTGTAAGCTGAGGCCTGGCTCACACAGGGGACTGATAACAGAATTGTCCTCCCAGCAGATGAAGATGACACAATCAAGGCTCTCAGACTTCAGGGGTTTTCTTCCTGTATTTGTGGGCACGTTGGGGGATTTCTTTAGGAAATGGGGGATTTTCCCTCTGTGCCTGTAGGTGACCAAAGTCTCGCCTGTGGTTATCACTACACACAATCCCAAAGCTCAAAGGCTCTGGATACATGTCCTGAAAAGTTCTGTCTCTTCATACCTGCACCCTAGAAGTCAGCAAGTGTTGGCCAATGCTCAGAAACTCTTTCTTTCTCTGGTCTGAGTGCAAGAAAAGTACCCAAAACTACCCCAAAACCAAGCTTGCAAAGCATCTGTGACTCACAGTGTGCCACAGACTGTGAGGATTCAGCTTTTTCCTTAATTTTCTGTTGGATTTCCTTAAATTTGCTGAGTTGTTCTGCTTGAGACGCCACCAGTGAGCATCTCCGCAGGAAGTTTGGTTTAGGTTTGGGGTCTCAGCCTGCCAGCCCAGCCTGTGGGATGCTGGATGTGAAAGGAGTGGCATCTTGGTGACCTCTCTCCGTGTCCTCAAGAGTATGTGCTGATCTTCCATGTGGTACATCCATGGGCACAAGCCTAAGCTCTCCTCCTGACCCAAAACGTGATGACATCATGCAAACTACTCATTTGGGATAGTCACCAGTGCCAGTGCCACTTCCCAGATTTTTCCTGGTCATTACTTACAACCTTTTGGCTTTGAATAACCCAGGAACTTGTAAGTTCTTGGGTAGGTTCTTGTGCCAAGGACTAAACACCACGAGATGTTTCTTGGCTTCATCCCCTGGTCTGGTTTATGTTCCCAGCAACTAAAGACACAAGTTTAATGAGTGGATTTAACCCTTTAACAAGCTGGGGGGGGGGGTGTGTGAAGGACCTTTGGCATCCAGGCTGGTGATTTGAAGCCACTGGCTGCTGGAGAAAGACATCAGAGAGGTGGGAGCAGGGGGAGAAGGACAGGAAGGGGTCAAGCCGTGGGAAGAAGAGTTGAATTCTGTGTTGCTCTCCAGCTTCCATATGGTGTTGGTGGGAACCTCACAACCATCACACACCTGTGAGTGTGAAACGGCGTGAGAGGAGTGTGGGAGTACCTGATGGGGAGGGATGGAGTGGGAGGAGACGTGGAAAGTGCCCAGGAGAAGGTAAAGAGGGGGAGGCAGAAACTTCTGAGAGGTGGTGATGTGAGGGAGAGAATCTGCAGGTCTGAGCTGCAAATGCAGAGCAGCCAAGAGGAGGGGTTGCCTGGGGGAAAGATTCTGGGGTGGATGGACAAGAAGGAGGAAGAAGGCTGTGAATGGACCATCCATCTCCAGCTAAAGCCCCTGATGGACGTGCAGGGTCCCTCTGTGAGGGGCACATCAATCCTGTGCCATCAGAGGTGGTTGAACAGAGCCAGAGCCCTGGGCAGGAAGTGCTTTTCAGACCTCTTTTCATTCTCATTTTGTTTTGTTCAGAGCGTTCCCACCGGTGAGCTGCAGCCCTTGTGCCCCCCCTCTCCCTTCCCCTGTTCGTTACTAGAGCCTGGTCTCCTGGCATGTTCACTTGAAAAGCATCCCTGCAGGAGGAATAAAGAGGGGGAGAAACCTGGAGAAGGAGGGGCAGGAAAACCAGACACACACAAAAAAAAAACTCCTAACAAACGTGAGGAGAAGCGGGAGGCGAAGACGATGAAGGGAGAGGGAAAGCAACACAAGTGGGAGGGAAAGTCGCATTTCCCAGGTGGAATGAGAGAATTGGAGGGCTGGGGGGGGGAAGACACACAAAGCACACAAAAATTGGTGATTTGCAGAGTGCAGAGAACAAGTGTGCCTGTACCAGACAGCACAGGGAGCTGGTGGCAGCTTTGTTAAGTGCAGGGAGCGCTGCTGCCCGTTGCTAAGGTTACCACTTCCAAGGACAAGTTGAAATAACTCCTTACCTTTGTTCTGTGCTGGGTTGTCAATGTTGAAATTCCCGTTCCACACGACAGTCAGCTCCACTGGCAGGCTGTTAATCTCCATCCCTTCGTAGGAATACTGGAGGTGGGAGGGGAGAAGCAAAATGAAACCCCAAACACGGAGTTACAAAGTGCCCAGAGGTGGGGAAAGGCAAGAGGTGCTGCTGCACGTTGGGAACAAGAGGAATGGAGCTGTCAGACACCTTCCTGGTCACCATCACCTTCCACAGTGCCATGGGATGCTCTCAGAGCTGTGGATCTCAAACCATACCCCTCTCAACAGCCCTTTGAGCCATTAGGGGAATATTCACAGAATCACGGAGTTACAAGTGTGGGTTGGAAGGGACCTTAAAAATCATCCAGTTCCACCTCCCTGCCATGGGCAGGGACAACTTCCACTATCCCAGGTTGCTCCAAGCCCTGTCCAACCATGCCTTGAACACTTCCAGGGATCCAGGAGCAGCCACAGCTTCTCTGGGCAACCTGTGCCAGGGCCTCCCCACCCTCACAGGGAAGGATTTCTTCCCAATATCCCATCTAACCCTGTCCTCCTTCCACTTAAAGGCATTCCCTGCGTGTGGTAACTTGGAAATCCACCTCCCAGGTGTTGAGAACAGCTCTGAAATATATTTTGCCAACTCTTGGGTGCACTTGAAGGTGTAAACAATACATTTTGGGTCTGTCATCCAGCTGTACCTCCATAGCTGTGTAATCCATAGGTGCTGAGCACTCATATGGGGTTACCCACACTAGTGGGGTTTGAAGGACTCTTGGAAGCTGAGTGAGGTCTCAGAAATCAGGGAATGGGCCCTTCATGGAAAAAAAGGGGAGAAAATGGCAGTTCTGTGTAATTATAGACCTGTCAGCCTAACTTGGCTTCCCAGAAAGAAAGTACATCAAATTATTAAACAATCAATTTATAAGCACCTGCGAGATGATAAGGTGATAAAAATCAGCCAGCACAGATTTGTCAAGAACAAATTGTGTCAACCCAATCTAATTTCCTTTTTGACAGGCTTAATGACTTTGTGGATAAAGGGAAAGCAGCAGATGTCATTTATCTTGATTTCAGCAGAGTATTTGCTACTGTCCTACAGGAGATTCCCATAAACAAACCGGGGAAATATGAACTAAAAAAAGCTACCAAAAGGTTTATGCAAAAAACTGTCAAAAAAAAGAAAAAAAAAAAAAAAAAAGAAGTCAGATAACTCCATGTCAGGCTGGGAGGATGTTTCACATGGAATTTTATCCTGGGTCTGGCATTACTCACTATTTTCACTACTGACTTGGATGATAAGCTACAGCTTTCATGAATGACACTGTTCAGGGAGAGGGTGCAGGGTTAAGAATTCAAAACAAACTTGGAAAATGGGAGAAAAATGGGCCAAAATCAACCAACCGAAGTTCAAAGCAGGTGAATATGGACTATTTTTGAGCAGGAGAAATCAGTGCAAACAGCTATGAAATTGGAGTGACTGGCCAGTGCTGCAGGAGAGACTGGGGACTACTGAGGATCATCATAAACAGACTGTGAATCAACAGTGCCAACAATGCTGCCAAAGCCCAAGCAATTCTCACTTGGGGATGGACCAGACAGAGCTTGTTCCCATATGTAAACCCCAGGATGCAAACATTTTCCCCCACTCAGAACCAGGAAGGCTTCAGCTGGAGTGAGGAGTATCCAGTTTCCAGCAAATGCATCTTTTAAAAAAAAAAAACCCATAGAAAGCTTCAGAGAGAGCTGGACAGATTTAAACAAACACTTGTCAAGGACAGGCAAGGTTCACAGTGGTGGCCTGAAGGAAGGAAAGGGAAGCTGGTCTCTGGAGGCCCTCTCCACTTGGAGAACTCTCTGACAGTGCTTTCTTTTTCAGCTAGATTTTAATTTATCTTCAGCCAGTTCACAGAGGGTTCACCCAGTTGCCCCTCAGATCCCACTGCCAACCTCCATCAACAGCTTCCATCCCACACTCCACCAAAAGGCAAAAAGCCTCATAAAGGGAGAGGAGATGGCTGATTAAAGGGCAGAATGGTGAACAAAGCAAGAAGGGGAGAAACATTCCATGTCTGCTACTATTACTGAAGGATTTACCCTCCTGAGAGCAGGAATCTCCCACTGCACTGGGACCTGCAGGGGGAAAAACTCCCAATTTGAAAGAAAAAAGATGTTTTCCCCACTAAAAGTTTAAATATAAATCAGCAAGGTGTCTGGTTTCGTTGGGCACATCTTAGAGAGCAGTAAAGGGTTCCCTACAGCCTGAAGTCTCTATGTGATTTTCCACAGAGACGCCAAAGCTCTGAGCCTTTACAGGAAATTTTTCCTGGATCCATTAATTGCCATATAATTGGGAGTAAATCATAGATGGTGATTCCTGTCCATTACAGCAGAGTGAGAGGTGGTTTCACACTAATTCCTCTTTGGACAAACTAAACACAATTAGCCATTAATCTGCAAAAGCCTATGATTATGATCCAGTTGTGGGGCCTTTATGGGTATAAGCCTTGTGGTTTCCATGGGAGTAAAGAGCAGCCACAGGTTACCCTCTGCAACAGGGCTGCTCCCTCCAGTCTCATTCAGCATTTGCATTTTTATGACACTTTTTGGTGTCACTGCCAGCGAGATGCAAGATGAGGCAGAGCTGCTTGGACTCACACCACTGGCTGTTCACAGCTTATCCGAGCTCGGAGCGAGGATGGGGAGACAGGAGTGGGAAGGAAGGCGCCTGAAAAGTAGTGAATAATTAATCCTCGTGCCACTCAGCAATGCCTGCTCTGCACAGCGCTTGGAAAATGCTGGTTGGGAATGGGAAAGGGGATATACAGAACTCCTGGTCACCCAGAAGTCAGATGAGTCTTAGGAAGTGCTACGTTCTGTCTCCCCCAGAGCCTCGTGTGTGCGTTTTGGGATTTACAGAATCACAGAATGTGCAGAGCTGGAAGGGACACATGAGGATCATCCAGTCCAACCCTCAGCCCTGCACAGGACTATCCCCAAGAGTCACACCCTGTGCCCCAGAGGATCATCCAAACGTTCCCTGAGCTCTGTCAGCCTTGTGCTGTGCCCACTGCTCTGGGGAGCCTGTTCAGTGCCCAACCACCCTCTGGGGGAAGAACCTTTATTTAATATCCAACCTAAACCTGCCCTGACACAACTTCAGGCCATCCCCTGGGTCCTGTCACTGGTCACCACAGAGCTCAGTGCCTGCCCCTCCTCTGCCCCCTCACGAGAAAGCAGAGACCAGGCAGGGCTGCCAAAGGACAGGCAGCTGGAGTCCCCCAGATTTCATCCCACGGAGGATCCCAGTGCCAGCAGCAGGACTCCAGCTGGGAATCCAGATCTTATCTTGCCTGCAGCACCAGGAGCAAACAGACATTACACCTTTTAACTCAGTAAGCTTGAACCAGAGCTGGGAATGGATACGAGGCCATAAGCAAGGGGATCCCCATGGAAGAGCTCCAAGGATGAAGCCGGGAATGAGGATGCTCACACTGCCTTGATCTGACCAGGCGGTTCTTGGGCCGCGCGGCAGCGAAACGGAGCGATTTGCGAAGTGCCGGCGAGCAAATGCTCCGCCCTCTGCAGACCACAGGAGCTGCTCACTCATTGTGACCCCTCTTCAAAGCCCGCTGAACTCAACGGGAGCCTTTGAAAAGGACTCGCTCAGCTGTGACAATAAGATGGAAATGTGTTTCGGGGAAGAGGAAAAGGGATGGTGCATCGATCTCCGGGACGATGGAGCTTCCCAGGTATTCCTGCTGGGAGTGTTCGTGCCATCAGGGCCTGTCTGGACATCTTCCCTGGCACAACGGCCTCCAGCACAGCAAAACTGCTCAGAATGTGTAAATCTGACCCCTAAACCTGCCCAATCTGGATCATAATCAAATCAAAGAACAAAATTATGGGCAATTCAGAGGGCCGAAGTGAGAATGCCAAAACTGGTCTGCTAGAAGGAGCTGTTGTAATTCACTGGAACTCCCAAGTGTCTCTTTTTTTTTTTTTTTTTTTTGGCCTCTTAAACTCTTTCCTTGTATCAGATACTTCTGCAGTTTGTGCAAATCCATATCCACCCTTGGCCACTTGCTGTATCCTGCTGGGATGTTGTGTCACAGGGTAAAGCTCTTGGGTAATTTGGCTCGGGCACACTTGGGACGATAAATGAAGAGTGACTTCATGATGTTTCCCCTTTGCATTTTAAGGATGTCCAGCAGTGGGGAAACATCTGCAGACAAACAGCATTTTAGCAGTGTTTTAGTGTTAGCCTGTTTTCCCTGACACCAATTTGTGATTAAAGCTCAGGCCTGAGGACTGACTTCTGTACCTGGCTCTGCCACCAGCTCCTTTTGTGATCCTGTGCAAATCATTGAATCCCTCTCTGCATCATTTTTCCAGTCATAAACTGAGCAGCAGTTCCAGAGCTGGGACTGAATTTTTGTGTCTGGGTATCACCCAGGCCAACAGAACCCGTGTCACGACTGGGGTTTCTCTGTGACATTTGAATGTAGACAAATCATAATAATGCATCATAACAATTGAGAGGTAGATGTGCAAGGGTGGCATTCCTGCCCATGGCAGGGGTTTGTAACTAGGTGATCTTTAAGATGCCTTCCAACCCAAACCATTCTATGATCCTACAACTCACACCCCCTGTGCTTGTCTTTTGGCCACCCATAACTGTGTTTTCCCACGATTTCTGTGAACAGCTCCTCATTTTTTTTCCCAGCTCTGCTTTTTATTGTTTTTTTTTGTTGTTTATTTGGTTTTATTTTCTCACTTGCTCCTCTGTGAGCCACACTACAGAGTCAAATGCCACTGAGATCTCTGGCTGAAGTGCAATGATGTGACAAATAGAACATCCTTGCTTTCCCATCCCTAAGTCACGCAGCACTTTCAGCTGCACCATCTGGGGGCTCACGGCACACAGACCCTGTGAAGGACTTGAGACAAATTATCAGCAGGGATCTTGCTGTCAGGAATCAGTACATGCACCCTGTGTGTGCCAAGGCCAGGGGTGGGCAGGCTCACACCACCCAAGGGTAGGGGATCAGTCACTGAAGCAGGGGATGGCAATAATCATGGCATGCTCAGCTGGGTCATCCCTCACCCATCTCCCTCTTCCTCATGCCCAAGGCTGATAATACTGGGCTGATTGCAAGTGCTGGGGCTCCCACTGTCTCCCACTGGGAAGATTGCTCTCTGCCCTGATACATCCAGCAATTTCAGCCCTTCCTGCTGACATTTTTACTTACTTATTTATATGTCTCCTTAGCTCCCCTCCCTTCTCATTTCCATCCATCACTCCGTGTCCGGGCTGTTGGCAGAGCTATCACAAAGTGCAATAAGGATTGGCAGGTAGGGCATCTCTGAGTGATAATTGCATGCCTTGGGTGGTGTGACAGGGGACAAAACCCAGAGCTGAGTGTCTCAAACCACTTGACAAGAACAATAATTGTCCCCAGTTGTGCTGCCTTCGGTGACTTATCGCTGTTATCAAATGAAACATCTCCAGGAAAGGTGGGGAGAAGGGCAGATCTGAGTCCTGACGGGGCTGAGCACCCATTAGGGACCATCAGAGCTGGATTTGACACTCCTGGCACATCATGAGATAGGCTGGTCCCACCTGGGTGTCCTCAGAGCACCCTTAAACTGAAGTTGGAGCCACTTAGAAAAGTGCCTGCTTAAGATGGTTCTGATCCTTGGTGTAAACCCTGAGGGATCAGGAAATGCAAGGCAAGAATTAAGGCTTGTCCCTGATTCTATCCCTGTGTGAAAGCAGGAAAAAAATCCTGCTTTTTTCAGAAATTACTGTGCAAGAAGCAAATTTGAGCTCGTTGGTGCCTAATGTGTGATGAGAGGGGGTAGATCTTGAGGTTTAGGATGGAAAACAAGGCAAGAGCGACTGCTTGGTCTAACGTGCACCACCAACAGATCTGCTGGCAGGACAGCACCCCTTCAGGGACACACCATCACAACACATCCTCCCACCCTCCTCTGGACCTTCTCCAAGCCTGCAATGCAGGTGCTACATTCGCTGCCTCCTCCAGCAACCGTGCCGAGTAAAAAGCTCTGCCGAAGGGGGTTGATTCAATTTGCAAACAAGCTCACTCGGCTGTTTCTAAAGCCAGGTGACCCCCGGAGCAGAGGCTCATTGTATCACAGTGGCTCCAGGCTGAATGCTAATTCTGGCAGGGAAGGCAATAATCATGATGGAGACGTTTCTCCAGCACTCCTTCCCTATTGTCTGTGTCCTCTGCCACCTGCTCAAACAGCCAGGGCTTCTCTGTTCCCTTTTTGTAGCTGTGTGAATGTTGCTTTCTTTTGTCTGGCTCTTCCCTTCCACATCTCTTTCTCTCAGTGTCTGGCAAATTCAGAGCAACAATGAAATAACATTTCTCAGAAATAAAATAAAAGAAAAAAAGAAATCAGAATCAAAGCACCTTCAAAAGAAAAGGGGAGAAAAGGAAAGAAAAGGGAAGCAAAGAGGAGGAAGAAGAGGAAAGTGAGGGAGAGCGAAAGGAGAGGGCAGAGGAAAAGGGAGAGGAGGCAGAAAACAGCACAGAAAAGGGTTGATTTTATTCCCAAATGAGCCTCTCTTCCTGGAGAAGAAATAGATCCACTTGAGCCACCACCAAACAGGGGACAAGCATCCTACAGACAACACAAAGCAGGGAGGTCATGGACTGCCGGTGCCTTGGCATCTGAGCCTGAGGCTCAGCCCTGTCACCCTCTGCAGCTCTGGCACAGCCTGGAGTGTTGTGGTCCAGGAAAACAGACATTAAAACCAAAATGGTGCAGTCACAGCACTCAAGGCATTCCATGAGGAAATCCATCTGGGGACTCGTGGAACCCCCACTCCTCCAGTCCGAGGCACTGGCAGCTTCTTGGGGCAGGCAGGTGGTGTGGGAATAGTAACCATTGCCTCTCAAAACCAGAGACATTTCTTGGGTACCACAAAAGCTGAGACTGGCTGAAGTTAATCTCCTGCTCAGCCCAGCTATGCTTAAAATCATCCTGAGATAATTCATGCTAATGCCTGTGTGTGCCAGAGAATTCCTGACTCTAGAGGGTCTTTAAAGGTCTCTTTTCCCTGCTAAGGCTCTTTGGACAGATATATAATCCCTGGCCATGTCCATATAAGACCCCTTTTTCACCATTGTTGAAGAAAATACTTCTTTAAAAAAGCATAATACCTTCTTAACTTCTCAGGCCACCCGTTTCTGTGCAGCCTCGAACCTGGAAGCCCACAGGTCATTAACCAGTAATGAAAATCGGGAGGAGGGAGGGAGGGAGGGAGGGAGAGGGACAAAGGAACAAACGAAAGAGCCTCCTAGGGATGTCGATTGTTTGCAAATGGTGGTGAAATGTGTGAACTGCCTGCCACGTTCAGCTGGTGCCTAATGCAGCAGAATATGTTGTGACAAGCAGTGCCCAGCGTGGAGTGGCAGAGCTGCGGTGAGGTGGCTAAAGCCTGTAATTAGCTCTTTGACTAATAAATCATCCCGTAGTAGCAGCAGTGAAAAATGACTCAAACGCACATTTTGGAGATGTGAACCTCATGGAGAAGACTCTGGAGAAGAAGAGAAGCTGTTCCACTGCTGCAAGAAGGAACAGCTCCTGGCAGATGACTGATTTGTCCCCAGAAGTGGCATGGCCCTGGTGACAGCACTGTGGTGACTCACACAAGCCCTGGGAGAGGGGGTCACTGGTCCTGCACTGCAGATGGGAAGTGGAGGTGGGCAGAGGGGAAAAAGGGACTCTCCAAAGGGCACGTGGTGAGTCAGTGGTTGCGGGAAGGTCTGACTCAACCTAAGGTCAGGTTGGACAGGGCTTGGAGCAGCATGGTCTAGTGGAAGGTGCCCCTGCCCATGGCAGAGGGTTGGAATGAGATGATCTTTAAGGTCTCTTCCAACCCAAACCATTCTGTGACCTCACCCTTCTTTCGACCCATCCCATCAGGCTGTTTATATGGGGTTTTCTACGTCCCATCACCAAACCCCTGCAAAATAACCTGAACTCTCCATCTGGAGACCCTTTGTGTGGCACTGTGAGGACATGAGCAGGTTAAGCTGACAATGATGGCTTATGGGTCATGGCTGACGTGCTCCAGCATGGCCAAGTACCGGGCTCCAGGGCCAGAAGCAACTACTGTGTGGTGACACCAGCCAGTCTGATCAGCAAAAGGGGCAGTTTTCAAGCTACCAGCCAACCTTTCCCTGACTGTGGTTGGAATCATAGAATCACTGAGGCTGGAAAAGGCCTCTGAGATCATCAAGTCCAACCTTTGACCAAATACCCCCATGCCCACTAAACCACATTGCCAAGTGCTGTGTCTACACACCTTTTGAACACTTCCAGGGGTGGTGACTCCACCACTTCCCTGGGCAGCATGGTCCAATGCTTAACCACTCTTTCAGTGAAGATATTTTTGCTGGTATCCAACCTGAACCTCCCCTCAAGCACAACTTGAGGCCCTTTCCTTTTGTCCTATTGCTTGTTATCTGGGAGAACACACCGACCCCCACCTGGCTAAACCCTCTTTTCAGGGGATTGTATGGAGCAATAAAGCATCCCTTGAGCCTCTTCTCCAGATTAAACACCTCCAGTACCCTAAATAAAAGAAAAGGGCTGTGACACCACCCAAAATCCCACTGGGAGAGTGCTATGGGCACTCTTGGCCCCTGCACCCTTTCCCAGGCACACAGGGCTCGCTCACCGAAGTGTTCTGGCACTGCACACTGGAGCTGTTGAACCTCAGGGCTGGCACCCTCTGCTCACTGCCCTGGATGTTCAGGATGCACTCGTAGCCCCTCTGGCCCGACTGAGGCTGGGGCAGGTTCTTGGCCTTCAGCGTGATGGGTTTGATCACCTCCACCGGCACCAGGATCTTCTCTGCCTGCAGCAGCTGGGGACAGTCCTGGGGAGAGAGCAGACAGCACACCCAGTCAGCACGTGGCTTTCCCACCCCCAGCTGGAGCCCTCTGATGCTTCTCAACCCCCTCACTTTGCCTGATCACAAACCCTTTGCGGCTCCCTGGACCTCGGTCCCTTACAGGGGAGTCAGGGAGTGTTACAGGGAAGGCTCAGATAAACAGGAGAGGAAGGATTTCTTTTACAGACCATCCTTTCCTATCTCCCTTGCTTACACTGCAGACTCTCAGCCTCCAGGACCCAGGGAAGCCACCTCTGGTGCTGTTTAATACCTTCTCTGTTACTCAGGTAATGGAAAAGGAATCAAGGAATCTCTCCATGGGCTTAGTCCAGTCACAATGCCATGATAGGAGACAAAGCCTGAGCATAATTCCTTGCTTCCCAACACCATTATATAAAAGGCACAGCTGCAACAAGATGTGTTGCAACCTCTGGAGTCAGGGATGTTAAAAAGAGGGTTTATTTTGCCATAGAGGAGGACAAAATATTTATTACAGACAGATCCAGCTGTTACACCCTGCGTGGAGATCCCTTGGAAAGGCTCACCAGAGGAGCAATGCCAAGGGGATGGTGTTAATCTGGTGCCTCTGGGTGGGTCCCTCACAAAGGTGGAGGTCTGGGCACCCAAAGGTGCCACGCAGGAGGCTGCCCTCAAGGTGTCATTACTTTGCACAGCTTTAGAGTGGCCACGTGCTGCTTCTTCACAGCACAGCCAGACGAGCTGTCACATCCATGGATTCTAGGAAGCTACCACGTCTTTAGGAAATTCCTGCAGCCTTTTCCTGGCTAGTCCAAGGCCATTGGATATAAAATGGGATCCCTTAGATAAACCACTGCAACAGGCCACAAAACAAAAAGCACAGACCACACTCCCTGTGAGTGCCTGCCTGTCCCCCCCTGGGTGATGCTTTTCAACTCCCAGATGCCAAGGTCAGGTCTGTCCCCTCCTTTTCACATTTGGCACATTGTTTGCTCTCTGTAGAGAGCTCCAGTATCATGATGGTGCAGCCACCCTGCCCAGTCCAGAAAGCAACACCACTTCAGCCTGTCCTGCCTGACATTAAAGCCAGGCCCAGCTGGGGTCAGCAGTGACAGGGAAGTTACTTGAAGAGGTGCAACCTTAATCTGTAGGGATGGGCCAAAGGAAAATCACTGTTTCAAGGGAGGAAAAAGAGGAAAAAAAAATTGGAAGGTTCAAAAATGGAATTTAGGGCTTACTGAGAGCCTGGGAGCTTGTTAGAGCAGATGGTGGGAGCATCTTACTGAAGCAAACAGCTTAGGGAGATAAAGAAATGGATTAGACGTGTAACATCTGCAGTGTTACATCAACCACGAGCAGAATTACAAGAGCCAGCAGTCATGACAATGCATGTGTGACTTGATCCAGGGGCAGGAGGAAAATCCAGTAACCACCCAATGCATTCCTGCAGTGAGGTCCAGAAGCCTTCCTCACTCCCAGAGAGGGTCAGTTTGTCTGTCCTGCTGGGAATGCCCGATGGAAAGTCCTTCAGGGCCACTTAGGCCATCAGGTTAACCTGGTTGGAAGGTGTAAGCATTGGAGGTGGAAAGGAAAGCCCATGGGTGACTGCAATTCAGTGATGAACTTCACCACTGTGACTCTCTGCACTCGTGGGGGTTGAGGATGGAGTGCTTGAGGGGCTACACCCTGTTCCAACATGCCCTTCTCTTGCTGCTGGGCAGTCCTATGATGAAACATCTCTAGGGAATCACTAATGCTCAAACACAGTGGTTAAAGGGCCAGAGAAGTGTTTTCCTTGATTCAAGAGCAAGGCTTTACCATCTAGAAAGTCATCCCAACCTTGAGTTCAATGGTCCTGCTCACCAGCGTTAAGGATAAATGCAGGGTTAAGTAGATACTCTACATGAGAAAATGAGATATAAACTACAACTCCATGTGATTTAGATCTCATAAAACCCCAGAGGGCAGGGCAAGAAGGTGGTCTAGGACCATATTAAAGCAAGAGACAGCAGATACCACATTTAAACACCATTTGGGACTAAACGGTTTCAACACCCCCTGACCCTTCCCCGTCACCTGCCCAGCATGTCCTGGGGGCTTCTGCGTCAGCTTCCTCCCTTTCTCCTGGCAGAAGAAAAGACCCTGGCAACATCCTCTCCATTTTTTTCCCCTCCCCAGCCACAGGAGTTGAGAGAGAGATGCACTGGCAGAGGGAATCAGCGGGCCAGGAGGATGGCCAAGCCGTATCTGCCGCTGAGCAGCCGTTTCCCAAGAGCGGGCATTTCGCTTGATGTCTGTCAAACAGCAAAGCCTCCGATGGGAGCCGGAGGATGGAGGTTGGAGATAGTCCACCCTGTTACCTGCAGGCCAATCCCAGCCCTTCAGCCTGGTCTTTCTTGTGGAGCTTTATCCCGTCCCCCTCCACCACTGGTGCTGTAACCTTTCCGATAACACTTGTTTCAAGTTCATTAACAAGCCGTGATTGAGGCAGCCCCAAAACAGGATTCGTTTGCATATAAAAAGCTTTGCAGTGCTGTGAGGAAGTTCATTATAGATAATTGAAGAGGCAAGCGCCATAAAGAGGAAATCCTCCCAATGTGGCTTTATCTGATTGACCTAATGTTCTTTCTAATTGAAACGGGGAGGGGAAGATGCAATTTCATTGGGCGTCGTGCTGCATAAAACCTCAGAGCTTGGACCAGGCTCTGGGTTCAGATTCACACAGAACTCATTTTGCAGCCTGCGTCGAGCTTTGGGTGCCTGGCCAGGTTTGTATTTTTGAGGGGAAAACAACAAGCTGCTCAGAGCAGACCCAAGCAGAAAGGTCCTTAAAAAAGAGTTATCTTGGGTATTTTACAGTGGAGGCACTTCCTCTGCATCCTTCTCCTCTGCAGTGGGCATCACCTAGGCTGGAAAAGTAGGGTTTTCACATGATGTAGAGGAAATAAAAACACCCTGCCAACAACTGCACCAAAGAAGGGCACGATCCCACCCCTTTTGCCTTTGGTATAAAATAAATTAAGCCTTTTACCCAACTCTGAGGGCAGCTGGTTCAGAATCCAGAGGATCGTTGTTGATTCATTTTACGTGTGTAGCTTCATTCTATTCCTTAAATGCTTTCAAGTGAGTCAGACCATTTAAAATAATATCCCCCACCACTGCCAATTACTCCTATCAGCAGCAATGCACACCTCACATCACCAAAATTTTGCCAATTACCGAGTCAGGGAGCTTTTGCAGTGAAAACACTGCATGAAATGGGCTGGACTCATTGGGTCGATGGTAGTTTGATTTGCTTTATTTATAACTCCTCGCAGAGTGGCTGCAAATGTGTTTTGTTGCAGCTTGCAGAAATAATAAGAGTCTCAGAAATATGAGAACCTTTTCTCTCCCATTTGTGTTATGGCCTCCATCACAAAGCCTGAGTGAGTCTCCAGTGAGAGCCATCAGGAGGATTCTGCTAAAGAGAACGACAAAAACTCTCTGAGGTCGTGTGGTCTTAGCCCTGAACTAATTAGTTAGGTTCATTTATGGTGCTTTATACATCCAGAGTTACGATTTCATGGAAATTTCATCCTGCTTTCTCCCAGTATAAGCTGGAGACTGACCAGATACTCTGAATTATCATCCTCTCCGAGGAATGAGGCATGTAGGGATGTCTCACAGCCTTGTGGTGAGACATGGGTTTTATTCCAGCCTTATTTTGTACAGTTTCACCCTCTGTTACTGGTTTTGGCCAGGGTTATGATCTGAAGTGTCATCAAAGTGTTCTCCCCTTTCCAAAACACAATGGGTTCTATCTACATTGAATGGGAGATGTGGGAACAGGTAAGACATCCATGAAGGTTTAACACAATGACCCATCCACCCATCAACAGTCTCCACCTTGCACTGCTGTCCCAGTTCACTCATCTTCACTCGTGCATCTCTCCTCACACAGAGGATCCAGGTGAGGGAATCTTTCCAACTTTTCCCTCATACTGGCTCCTCATGATCCCTGGTAGCACTGGCTGGATCTCCACTTAGAGCTCACCTATCACTGACTGCACTGGAGGAATCTCTGGCAAGATAAACTCAACCCTTGGCAGTGGAATTTCACCCTTCCTTTCCCAGAAGAGTAGGAGGAATCTCCATTCAGGACCAGACACAGCCACCAGCACCAATTCCTTCATTACTCATCTCAAAGCAACCAGTTCCCTTTTTCTTCTGTCATTAAATCCATTTCTTCACCCTCAGCTTTAGGTTTGTTTTTTTTTTTTAAGACTTTCTTTTCCATATCCCTCATCCACCCACCACCTCTGTGCCTTATCCAGGCCATCTCACGTGGAACGAATCGAAGAGGGGAGCAAAATTTACTCACTCAAGACCTTTGGGGCCCCCACAAGAAATGAAACTCAGATTGTTATTTACCCACATATCACATAAATAAATACATCTTTTGTTCATCTCCTCTGCTGAGCTGCAATGTTCTGTTTTTCCCTGTGCTCCCTGTGGCTTTCTCACCCGCCCACACTGCGCTGTAATCAAGTCAAGAGGGTAAAAGTGGAGAGGCAGGGATTGGGTATTTATAAAGATATCTAGACCACAGCATCTGGATGCTCTGTAAATTAGATTAGATTAGAAAACATCATGACAAAAACACAGAACAAGGAAAAGAGAAAGAAAAGGAAGGGAAGGAGTGAGAAAAAGGAGGGGAAAAAACAGGCCAAAAAAAAGGCAAAAAAGAGGCAAAAAATCCTCAACCTTTCATTGACTTTGGAGAAATCAGATTTCACCTGGATAAAAAACAGGAATGAGAGGCAGCAGGGACTGCCTGGAATACATTGCCTGAACTTCTCTCTCACACCTCCACGCAGTCACCCGGGGTCACCACCCCAGGTCTGTGCAGCAGCTCCCCCGTTCTGCTGCCCACAGAGCCCTTCAGGCTCCAGGCCTGACGAGCTGGTTCCTTTGATGAATCACTTTCCAACTCCTGCACAGCTTCCCAGACCCCGGATAATCTGGAG